TTCAGTTACTAGTAACTTATGTATGTTATGGAGGCCAAAATTATTATAATATATTTATAAATTATGTCATCAGTTGCTGTCGTTTCGTATGATCAGATGTATTTCAAAAAAGAACATATATATCTGTGTATATATCAAAATTTTTGATTTACCTCTCTCAAGGAAAAATCAAGAGAAGTGTACAAGTTGTGTTTTGCAAAGCCGGTTCAACATACGGAAACATTTCGAATATCTTTAATGATGATACTCCAATAATTAGTATTGAGAGAACCCATAAGAATAACCAAGAAATCACAAAAAAAAAATGTTTATACAGATATACGACAAGCCTGTGTAAATAAATTACAATCTATAACAATTGATAAACACTGACGCTGACGCCTGAAACAGCATGCCTTAATCTTGCTTCATCGACTATCTTAGCATTTTTATCAAACTGCTACTTTTTGGTGTATGAGCAGGGGCTGGGTTGGTGGAATTGTGATCTTAATCATAATCAACTTTGATCGATTGTCTTATTATTAACTGTTTACTTTCATGAGTGGGACAAGGGCATTGTGAGTCCCCCCCCCTCCCCTTTTTTTCCCACCGTACCGCACATTAGGAATAGAGTGAAAGACTGTTTTAAGAATACCCGAACATTTCAGCAAAAATCTAAATTAATGTATAAAGATACTTTATTATTAGTTGCCCTGAAACCCCTCCTGTCCACACACCAGTCTCTCCACAAAGCACCTTCTAAACTTTTCGAATATATCATTATTTGAATGCCTCAAAACTATTTTCACCTTGTGCCGTTGTCCGAATTCATAATAAGACTTTTTACGATAAGAAGGAGAAATTAGGATTAGGTCAATAATATTAATATAAACCACCCACATGTTTTGATGACATTTTGATATGAAAAATTACACACTTTTTACGATCATATGAATGCAGTTTTCACATTTCTAAATTAATTTCTAATATAACATACATCAATATGTATGTATACACATCATTGATAGATCGATTGGTTGTTATGAATAACAAAATATAGAGGTAAACCAAAGGTAAACAATACATCTTGAGGCTTATATATAGTCTTCAACAATAGACACAATTCAATACAATATTTCAAGTGTGTGCCTGACGTCCAGTGACACATATCATATACATCTCCGGGAAGAGAACAGATTTAAAAAGCAATTGTACAATAAATTAGTGGGTATTGCAACGTTTGCCGACCGGGAAAGAGGGTGGGAAATTAGGACTGCCACTAGAAAAAATGAATCTTGGATAGGGGAAGAAATTTGGCCTTGAAACAGGTGAACAACTGACCCCTCAAAAAGTTATTGCAAAAGTTCTCCAACATGCAAGAAAGCGTGGCGCTCTATCAGTCCGGGATTTCGGATTTAGTGTCCCATTCAAATCGAAAGGTATTGTATTTGATACATTCCTTACAACTGTAGTTACTTCCCCTTAGTCGGAAAAAACTTGGTCCAATTTATATACCCAAGGTTCAATCTGGGTAAGAGGGGAAAACAATGTACTACTTTTATTGAACTATAATTTCGGTCAATGCAATGGTATAGTTATTGTCAATGTAATGTCAAATTTTATTAAAACTTAGTGGTCTTTTAAAGGTTGAAAGGTGAAACGTGATATGTTTAGACAATTATTAATGAAAGCTATTTTAATAACTGTCATATAATGGGATGTAAATGAAAATATTTTAAATAGTTTGCCTTGAAAAAATGAAAGTATGTGTCATATAAGTAATAATTTTCAAATTTAATTTGTAAAGAAATGTTTGAAGCTTTACATTTGTGTGTTTTGTAGTAATTGTTTTTCAGTTAAACTTTTTGTTTCCTTGTAGTATACATTCCATATAAGAACGAATAAATTGGAACGCGTTTGTTTATATTTGTAACGCTGTCTCATAATTGTGTAATGACTGTTGCTTGAAAATGGGGATATTTTCGGTAAACAAAAGAGGTCAAGAATGCAAAAAGATTATAGTATCGACCTAAACATTTTTCCATAAACTTGACAACATACGAAACATCTGTATATCTGTTTCTGTTTAATTCATTTTAACTTTTTTCATACGAGCGCTAGCCAGCGATAACAACTTTTTTATATACAATTCGACTACAATAACTTGTGCCTTCAGTGATGGTAGGGATCAATGAAAGATTCCAGACAACTAAACAATGGTGTTGAGGAAAAGATTTAATTCTTTTGTAAGTATAATTTATTACGCTTGTCATAATTTACTGTTTGCTCTTATATTATTCTTCGATTCATTTAATTTGTACAAGTAGTTGGATTTGAAATGTATGAATGGTTGAGAGTGAAAATTTTCCAATAAATAGATAGGCATTTTAATGTAAGAAACGGTTATTGTCTTTTTATTGATATTTTTATTGTATACCATACTTGCCAAATTGTATAGATCAGTTACAATATTTGTTCGGGATCTTTACATGTAAATATAATTTTTATTCGGTCATCTGTAATATAAGGAAATTGACCATTTATTTACTTATATATCTTTGTTTATCAAGGTGGGGTAACAAGAGGGTCTTTATGGTAATACGATTTTTTGATGTAATGCTTTGAAATGAAAAATATATTTAGAGTATAATTGAATTTGGTTAAAAGTCGTGTACTTCAATGATCAAAGCATAAAAATATGATGAAAAAAATATTAACTGTAACCTGTGGTAAATTATTTTCGTGATTTTATCAAGTTTTTCTACTGCACCTATGTTTAAGCGACTTATTTAAAAGCAAATTGGTTACTTTTAAGATCAACGTTTATAAAATGTAATTGCTATATAATCCTTAAACGTTTGATTAAATTTCTAGTTTTATGAAAATAAATAGGTGTTGTAGTTTATATATATATAGGTCGGTACGATTACAATAGCATAACATTGAAAACAGACTCCCCATTAAGTAAAGTTAAATTGTGGATTAAGGAATAACAATTATTATATTATATTCTATATAGTTACGGAAAATATTCAGAGGAATTTTGTATGTGCGTAGAACAAAACTGTTCCGGTCTGTCATTTTCATATCTTTATACAATATCTGTTTGATAATACAACGGCGTCTTAAGGACCAACGGTGATTTTCTATTATTTTTATTCATAAAATTGGAACGAGATATTGTGTTGTTATCTGTTTTTTAAAAGAGACGATTTGTGAACGATAATTGTTTTTGTTTACAAAATATATGCAGTGAAAGTGAATATATCACGGAAGAATTGTTTAAAGGAAAGTTAAAGAATTTCTTTGCACAATGTTTAAAAAACGACAAGATTTGAATTGTCCGTGCATATGCGAAAATGTCTTTGTTCTCGCCCCTTACTAAAATGTGTAATTAACAGTTTGTTAAGTACAAGGAACAGTCGTATGTTTTAAGTAACAATAAGTATTTACAATGAGGTAAGAGGCTTGTGTAAAAAAGTAAAACGGATTTAAAAACAATTCATTGACCCAAACGACTATATCAAATTTAACAATAGGTATTACATACATGTATTAAATGACAGATACAAAGGTCCACGCAATACACATAAAGAATGTAGTTCAAAATCTCTCCCCAAAAAATGTAATGGATATTGAGAGAGGAAACTTCCACTGAAGAATTATGGTAAGTTGACGTTTTTATTTTTATAAACATTTTTTTAAATTAATTTTAAATTTTAGAGGAAAATTGAAAATTGAATGATTCAATAATCTTCTAAAGGAATTTTAATGCCCTAAAGCAGTTAAATATTTTAGAAGATTAAGTACACACTCCATGTTAAGCTTTTAAAACCTTGAGATAAGTATAATACTTCTTTTAATATACAATATCTTAACTTACTAGATACGTTTATTTTATATTCATTGCATTGTGTAACATCTCCACGAAGCCAAAATGGGAGTGTGTATCCAACGTTTCAGTTTTCCTTGTCAAAATTCTATCTTAGGGCCATTCTTATTTAAAGACAGATCCGTTTTGAAATTATGCCATCGTCAGTACTAGTATTCAAATAACAAAACTGAGAACGTTATAACGTATTGCTTGTTTTAGCAAATTTAGATTCCTGCACCAAAAGTGCACTATTTACTCAAGTTTTTTGTGAATTTGCGAACCATTAACTCCATAACGTATCAAATAAGATCAAAATCCTACCTCACTAGTAATATCTGCTTAGATGCATGAATATTGAATATTGTTTTTTTCTGAACTAATATCAATTTCGTTTTGATAAATTCAAATAACTATAGATTGCTTTACGGTAATGAAAACTTTTGGTCCTACATCAAGTCGATACTATCTACTCATATTTGGTATTGCACAAGGTAATGCTTTTCCCAGACTGTTCATGGCGTCTTTGCAATAAATCCGTTGGATGTGTACTGACTGATGCTTTATTCAGCGAGAACAGCATTTTTTTATTAGTTGTAGTTGGCTTTGAACTAGCTAACTGCGAGTACTCTTAGATCAACACTTTGTGTCATTGGCCTTTGTGTAAGATGTTTGAGTTCATGTGCTTCATGCCAATCTTATGTCAAGCCATTTCCAACTGATTTTTATAGTTTGTTCTTATGTTGTGCTACCACACCACTGTTCTATGTTAGGGGAAGGTTGAGTGCTCACAAACCTGATTAACCCACTACATTCTATATGTGTATGTCCCAAGTCAGGAGACTGTATTTCAGTGGTTGTCATTGGTTGCTGTCTGTCATATTTGTTTTTCGTTTATTGTTGTGTACATATATGAGGCCGGTAGACGTTATTGTTTTGTTACAAATTATGCCGTTGGTTTTTCGTTTGGATTGTTTCCCATATTGTCATGTCGGGAGTTTTTAAAGCTGACTGTACCATATGGGTTTTGTTCATTGTTGAAGGACGTATGGTACCTTAACGTCATGAAGAACATGGTGGATAGTTGACTTATTGGCAATCATACCGCAGATCCTTATTTCATAATGAAAAATGTTGTATTGATTGACTTTTAGTAATTCTGACGTCGACGTATACCGTCACATTTTAAAAAAATTTACTCATACCTTGTAATGCGCAAAACGCTTTTTTTTCTTTTTTCTTTAGATTTTACCAGCAAATGAGGATTACCTAATATCTAAGTGCAATGTTCGAGAGAATGGAACCATATGACTGGAAACGAAGTCGTATTCCACGTGAACTCGAATATATGGGAGATGTTAGTGACACGGATTATGAGATTTACTCTCCGGTATCATTGTTTTTCGAAGAACGAGAAATAAGAAGAACCGTAATATATCAAGGACGGAAACGGAAAGTTTTTGTGGACGATAACTGTGCAAGTGAACTTTCCACCGATCATCTAAGTCCGGGTGTTTTGAAAATATTTGGAGAAACAATTGTACCTGGAGTTGAGTACAAAAGTGTTCTAGCTTCATTCAGATCTACTGCCCAGGAGCTTGTGAAACAAGCATTGGATAGATACGATGTACCTCAAGAAAAACACGTAGATTATTTCTTATGTGATGTTGTAGGAAAAGTCAATAACTCTCTATCTGAAGAAACCGATCATAGAAACTCTTCAAAATGGCAGACAAAATGCTGCCGAATGCTGTCGGACCATGATCGTCCATTGCTGTTACAGAACTTTTGGCGCCCAGCAGACGGACTTAGCAGACGTTATGAACTGCGACGGAAAACTGACTTTTCAAATTGTATAGAAGGAGATGACACATCAGGATTAAATGAAAATGCTAGGAAAATTTCAATATCAAAGCTTAGACCGGGAGCAATACCATATGAACCACACCATCATAGACGAGACAAATTTTCGGATGATTTGAATATAAATGCAAACATTAGGTCTCAAAGCTGGGTGGCTAAAAAATATGAGTGCAATAAAGTCATAAACAGTTTAGATTTAAATATTAACCTCGCATCAAACGGCTTAAGATCTCCACAGTTGCCACAGAGACAAAAGTTACTCGAGCTACCACCATCGTCTGTAAATCAAAGACCTTTTCTTCTCACGATACGTGGGTTCGATGTAAAGAAAGATCCCCTATGTCATACTATTTGTTCCAAAAATGTCCTCATATGCAATAACAAAACATCCACATCAGATTCTCAAAGGATAATTTTGCATGCTCCAGATATACAACCTCGACATTGCTACCTCCATTTAAAACGGATATCCAATCCCTCCGAACGCCAAACTTATAATTATACTGTTGAAGTTCAAGGGACACCGACATCAACTGTTTTTATAAATGGCTACCCTGTTACAAATCGGACAACATTGCATGCAGGGGACATTTTGTCTCTTGGAAAATATTACATCTTTCTTTTTAAAGACTTCTCTCTCGGACACGATATACCTCTTCAGTTACCATGGTTGGGAACTGATGATGTTTTTGACGAGTCTTCAAGACAATTCAGTAGTTCTTTTTCTAATTCACAAAGGGATTTTACTTCGGGTCTGCCTCAAAATGTAGTGCCGCCATTACCTCTTTCACAAGAGGATAATGTGTCAATTTCGACAATGGAGTCAACTGGTGAAAGATTTAGATTTGCATATTCTAGAGAGAAAGAAGAGGATCTCATGAAAGCAATCGGTGCAATAGTTAAACAAGACTTTTTAGGATTTCCGTTGGCTCCGGCATACCTTTACAGTATGTGTATTGAATACTCTTGTAAACGATTTGATCTTCATCACATTCGGAACCTTCTCCTTCGGATATTAGGAGTTGTTCGAGAAAGTGTTGGAGTGAGTATTATTTTTATTTTAGATACATCATATTTCAAACCGGGTATCCCCTTTCACAATTATGTTTTAGATACAATTGTAACCCCTTTCACAATGTTTTAGATACAATTGTAACCCCTTTCACAATGTTTTAGATACAATTGTAACCCCTTTCACAATATTTTAGATACAATTGTAACCCCTTTTTACAATGTTTTAGATGCAATTGTAACCCCTTTCACAATATTTTAGATACAATTGTAACCCCTTTCATAATGTTTTAGATACAATTGTAACCCCTTTCACAATGTTGTATACACAATGTGTGGGACAAATAGGCATTAACATAACAAAATAAGGAACATATTGAAGAATGTGTCACCTTTTGACAAATGCTACATATATTTTGACAGCAGAATGTAAAAGTAGTTTATATGAATATACATAGCATTTGCATATCGTGTAAGAAAAAAAAGATATTAACTTACCCTGTTCATTTAACTAAATTTTCATCATCCGTCGAAATATCATTTGTTGACATTTATGTTTTATCCGCTTTTCAGATTGATTGATTTATGTTTGCTAAACGTCCAGTTGCAAATATTTCATGCAGTTTCTGGACTAGAGGTTATATTTGCAATTAATAGAAATGTTAAGTTCTGCAAATGTTGGTCGACGTTGATAAAGGGTTAGAAATGGGATTACCACTGGAAAAGGAGGATATCTTAGATTGAGACAGATAGAAAAGATACCAAAAGGACATTCAATCTCATAAGTCGAACATATTCTGACAACGCCGCGGCTAAAAAGAAAAAGACAAACAGTACACAAAACACAAAACACAATATTAACATAGAAAACTAAAGACTGAGCAACACGAAGTATACAAAGTACTGAAATGACCGTCATACATTTTTCTATATACAGACAATTCTGCAACTGTATTTGGTTAATATTTGTGTACAAAATCTCCTTGGGGCACATTATTTTTGTATTCTTTAATTTTTAAACGATTTTTCTCTATTTGTTTTATGGTTTTGCCCATTATTCTCTACTTTTTATACCCAATCATTATCTATTCTTTAATTTTTCGCCAATTTTACTATTCCTTATTTATTTAGTAGAAAAAAAAAGATATGGGATATCAATTCATGACACAAAATCAGTACATATAAATAAGAAGATGTGGTATGAGTGCCAATGAGACAACTCTCCATCCAAGTCGCAATGTGTAAAAAGTAAACAATTATAGGTCAAAGTACGGCCTTCAACACGGAGCCTTGGCTCACACCGAACAGCAAGCTACATGTATAAAGAGCCCCCAAAATGACTAGTGTAAAACAATTCAAACAGGAAAACCAACGGTCTAATCTATATAAAAAACGAGAAACGAGAAACACTTATGAACCACATCAACAAACGACAACCACTGAACAATATGCTCCTGACTTACGACAGGTGCATACAAATGCACAGCAAAAAACACACAAAAAGCAAAGAAACAGTGCTGTTCTTCATTTCGAAGTCAAATTTAGGCCTTAAACACGGAGACAAAAAAACTCTCACCTCGCCGCAAGTTTAAGACGGCACCTAGCACCGGTTTGAGCGGAATTCTTTGCAAAATCATTCGTAAAGACTTTGTAAGATGATCACTACCAAATCGGCCCCGGTCAAAAAAGAACATACTGGAAAGTAGTACATATTTAAAACAAAATTTGACCATTGTTCTCTTCACTTTGCCCATTATTCTCTTTTCTGTAAATTCATCCAAACCCCTATTCCCTTAATAGACTTCCTATGCTCTTTGAGTATACATTGTCCAGTATAGACACGCTGATCATCTACATACATGCATCAAATGCATTTTCATAACAGTTTAACATCTCTTATATTTTTTATATATATACTTTAAATACAATTGAATTCTTGCTGCTTGAAATAAATAACTTTTAAATTTCCAACCTTGGGCCTTAGATTCTCAATAGATATTTGTTTTTACAATTATCGTATGTGTTGGAACTTTTAGTCTGGGTAAGATATTTAATAGTTATGAATGAATGAGTTGACACTATTTAATTTGAACATTTTTACCCTTTTAAACTCATCAAACTGTGAACTTGTTTTTAAATGTGTTTCATTCAACCCGAGAAAATGATACATACATTTATATCAATACTGAGAAAATTGTTCAATAATAAATATGTTGTTCAAAAGCATTTATCATTGAGGAAATTCGCATATTATCTAAACATGAAAAATATTGGTAAAGTGACCACCAACAAAGATATTTAATCCAGGTATATTTTTTTCATGTACTTAAGCCTACATGTATTTTGACCTGATTTGACGCATTGTTTTAATTTAATATATAACACTTTAAAAACTTGGCGGGGGTTCCATGAAGAGTCGATAGCCGTATAAAACTATAAATACGAAAACTAGGTTGCAAGTATCACAAAAATACAATACCAAAAGATAATTCTCTGTTAGTAGTCAAATGTACACAAAAAGTGGTCCATAAACTTAAATAATCGCATATAATTTTTGTGAAAACAAGCCCATGTTGACCTCGTTTAACACATTGTTTTCAAGCAAGACTTTAAGTAACATCAAATAAAATCTGACAGTGACTAGAGATTTAAAATAGATATTAAAATATGAAGAATGTCAAGCACTTTGCTAAAGTACTTCTGATAAAAGTTAAAAGATAAACAAATTTGTTAAACGATTTACTACATATTTAAATTGAAAAACCAAAACATTGTTATCATCCCTGATAACTGTATTTATACGCCGCTTAGATTTGTTCTTGTTAAAGTAGTAGTCGATATGTATATCATGCACCAAATTCATAAAGTGTTATTATCATTTATATCTCACTTGGTAAGGGTTCCATTGAAAAATGGCAAGAATGTTCTACATACTACAAAATAAGCCATGATATCAACAAAAATTTCCTTTGTAGGCTTCCGACCCATGAATCAGAGTTAATATGATTCTTTAAAGGGCTGCGGCTCTTTTCTCAAAAAATCTTAAGAGTTAAACTACTCGTAAGTCATACACATTTCAGTATAACTTACGATCAATTTTAATTATAAGATTTTTTGTGAAAAGAGTTCTCAAATATAGTAATTTTTTCTTAAGAATATCTATTGTACGGGTTTGATTTTTATGAACCTTTCATGTGGAATTAGTTGGAGCATGTATCAATCATGTTCGGTCAATTAGATAGATTCAAAAGTCTTTATCATATTCATATGTACTCATCATAACGCTAACACATAATGGGACATTGTCCAATTTGAAGCAGATCTACATTTGTATATTGCAAAACATAGGTTTAAGTTCCTCATCCATTTCTGTAACAGCATTGCTGTTCTTGTGATCCAACCAAAGACTTGAAAAAAGGTGTCTGCTGCTTCTCCTCTAAGCATGTGGCATTTAGAAGTAAGAGAAAAGACTGGCCGGTAAGAGTCAGTATTGGGTAACTTATCACGCTGCGGACTGTTACCTCGAAAAATCCCCGTGTCGGTCAAGTACATAGCACTGTTATTAAGCATATCACATGACCATATTCTCGTCTTGAATATGATTTTGATTAGAGACTAGACGTCAAATAGCCATTCATTATCATCGTCATCCATTTCTCTAATATTCTTTGAGACATATTCAGCAAGGTTTAGGCTAGGTGTACACGCTCGACAAAGACATTTCAACATTCTTAGGTTTTATAAACTAAACTCATTAGTGACAAGGTAAAGTAAAACATACATAAAAAAGAGTCTGGTTTCTGATTAAAATTGTTCTTTTGAGTGCGAATTTGACCTCTTTGGTACAGAAAGATAATAATGACCTGATTCATGAAGAATTGGTGACTCGGATTAAAATTTTAACCCGACAAACGAATTTTTTTCAAATATTCAAACTAGTCAGGAGCCTGTAGTAGTCGTTGGTTCGTTCTGTCATTTTTGTTTTTCGTAAATTGTTTTGTTATAAATTAGGCCGTTAATTTTCTCAATTGAATTGTTTCATATTTTCATGTCGGCGACCATACGGTATGGGTTTTTCTCATTGTTGAAGGCCGTACGGTTGCCTATAATTGCTTACATCCACTTCATTTGAACTTTGGTGGATAGTTGTCTCATTGGCAATCATACCACATCTCCTTATTTTTATAAGATACATTGGAAAATCAGTATTATTTTACCTCTTTTTTTTCCTGTTTATTTATCTTATGAAGAAAACAGATAGACAATAGTACATCTAAACATTTCCCACAGTGATAAGATCCAATCGTTCTAGTATTTAAAATTTATAAGTAAAATTGCTTTGGAAGAAATAAATAATGAAAGGTTTAAACATTGATTTGCATTGTCATTAGATAGTGACTTTATGTCTCTAGTGAAAATGCTTTAAATTGAAAGGTAAATCACTACATATATCATTGAAGAAGGAATATATAATGCTTAATTTGTTTACACTTTAATTTAAGTAATTCTCTAATGGAGTACTAACTTTACAATATTTACATATCAATTTATTTACAGGAGATATCGAAATCGTTGTCAGAACAGAAGTTTAACTGGTATGTATACCCACATGTACTAGTAATACATGCTATGAACACACGGGGTATATACTTTTTTAAATTGGGCTGGACCACAAAATCTAAATATCTTCACACACACACACACACACACACACACACACACACACACACACACACACACATATATATAAATGAATGGTCATCGAAGTGACTACACCTGCAAGCCCGACCTCCCCGTAAGTCGTCATTTGAGATCACCTGGGCACGCCCAAGCTGATCTCAAAAACCTTACAATCACAATCATAGACCACAACGAGGGTTGGTCAAGGGCCGAAAGACTTGCTCGGGAAAGGTTTTGGATAAGAAAGCTAAGGACAGTTTCCCCAGAGGGCATAAATGACAAAACATAGAATGAGTCACTCATTTTCCCTACCATCACTCATTTTCCTGACATCATTTGTTTCCAGTTACTCCGGTTTCCTTACTTGACCCTTACAGTTTTAAGGATTCTTTTGGAATTTTTTGAATTTTACTAGTTTAAATACCAGGGTTCTTTTTATTTGGTAGGGATTTACAAGTACGCATCCACGTCCATTTTTTAAACCTTATCCCAAATTTACTATTATTTTTTCTTTTCATTATAAAACTGGTATTTATTTGGGATGATAAAAGCCTCTGTTTGACATATTTTACCAGCTTATATCGATCAGTGCTGTTTTTTTTTTTTTTTTTTTTTGGGGGGAATGTATTCACACGCAGTTGTTGTAACATCTTAACTGACGTCATATTGGAATTTTAGAGTTGTGCCAGTTCATATCTCTAATTACTATTTTCATTTTAGGCATGTCTTTGAGTCGTTTTTTGGAAATTTTAAAAATTTATTAGCGTCTCTACATATGATGTTCGGATGAAACTGTTTCACTTTTTTTATTGTATAGAATTCAAGACTGCTATAGTTTAATAATCAGAATAGATTGATCTGATTCATTTTACATCGTGCTCATACTGATGAAGGATATCTTTTATCCGAAATATTTATAGTTACATTTGTTCGTTTATTGTCAGTTTTTGGTGATGTTGTACCCTTTTAGACTGGTTATAATATATTATATTTTGTAGTGTACTGTATCATATTTATATGATCCATCGCCCCGTAAGATTTATCGTTGGCTATTATTCAGTCATTTTATATATTATAATATATATATATATATATATATATATACGTACACAGAGGGTAATGAACGAATGGAGCTTATTCCTTAACCCTTATATTTACAGAGTTCCATACGAAACACAAGGTAGAAAATAATTACACAGACCAAGCTTGCAGCACTTTATATACATTAAGTTGTTACATTGACATTATTAGATGAACTCTCACGATTGTCTTCTTAGTACTCAGTGAAGACATTGATTCACTGATGCACGGTGCTGTTAAGGTTCTATCGATATAAAAATGCAAATAAAATTACACTTTGTAAATCTTTTCCCTAAATGAATTTTCAACGCCTCAGGAAATATTGTTATGCATTAGATTTAAAACACTAGAACACACCCGCGACATTGCGGGTCCGTGACTGAATTAAAGTATTTAATCGTGTATAAGCCTTATTTTAAGCCTGGATTTTTAGTATTGCTATTGTCATCTGATAAAGTCATGCTTATTAGATGCACAGTTTTCTCTGCTTTCAAAATCTTTCTGCTTGAACCCGTTGACCTGGAACTTATTAATAATTGATAATATTATTTATTTGGAAAACAAAGGGGCCTGGAATTGTGTAATTTTCAATCAACACCATTGTGCTATATTAGTTAATATATAAAGTTGAATTCTTTGATTCGCCGTTTTTACGTCATGCCGGCTAACAAATTGGAAACTGTCCCTACGCCTTATTTTAAGTCTGGATTTTTAGTATTCGTATTGTCATCTTATAAAGTTATGCTGAATAAAATACTACAATAGGAAACAATGTGACAATGATTGAATTTAGTAGTGTCAACCCTGTATAACGACCCATGTATATAGAAAACCCCAAATACACCGTTTGGTGGTGCACCTGACAGATACGGCGTACAGATAAGGTAATGTAGATTTCGCGGGCAGTACGTCGACTGAGCATGCGCGAAAGCGTATAAGACACGGATCGATAACGGTCTCCGAATTTGGATATTTTCTCAAAAAATGGCGTTTTCTGTGGAAAAAAGATTGTTTCAAAGAAAAATTTAAGAAGTACAAAACACTACATTTATACGTCGTATCACAAATATTTCCGGGGGCCTCGGTGGCCGAGTGGTCTTAGTACTGAGTTACTACTGTAATCACTAGCCATTCAACACTGAGGTTGTGAGTTCGAACCCCGCTCGTGCGGGTGCACTCGACTCCAATATTAATTGACTAGGATTGTCAGTTTTCCTATCAAGGGTCGGTGGTTTTCTCCGGGCACTCCGGCTTGCTCCACAAATACAGACTGGCCGCCACGAAATAGCCCAAAAGCGGTGCTTAAAAGTGTCGTTAAAACACCAAAAATCAAAAATCAATCAATAAATATTTCCGACTTTGTATGGTTTCAGAGGAGTTGCGGCTCAATGAAATCGGTCTCTTCCTTTAGTAGTATAGATACATGTCAAACAACGCATGTATGAATCATGAGCGGTTTTGAAAACCACTAAATGGTCAATGTTGGGGAAGATAAATACATCAGAATAGATGGAGATGCAGGACTGCTCAAAATATGGATAGGACGAATATAAATAAGTCTAATTTAAAAGGAAAACATAATATTAAGTTGCGCCCTATAATAGTACATTCATGTATTCCTCTGAAAACTTCAATTACTTTCTGAAATTCAGCATCAGCATCACACGTTGTAGCAAATATTGAAAGCTGAATAGTGTGATGGATACTCGCAAAGGGAGAAGTTCCATTTCTGTTTGATGGGTCTGAAATGTATACGTCGTAACCAAGCCGTTTCTTATACATGTCTTTACATAGTTAATAGACTTGTACACAATAGTTTCAAATGACATAAAATGTTTGACCCTATTACTACTTTACGTGCATTTTTTTGGTATTTTAACATGTGAATAATTGCGCTGTGAAGATTTGAAAACATGTTATGCGAAATACAATAGTTTCGAATGACATTTATTTTGACCCCATAACCACTTTACGTACATTTTTTTTTATTTTAACATATGAACAAGTTTGACGTGAAGATTTAAAAAAAATCTTATTTGAAATACAATATATAAGAATGACATGTTTAACCCCATCACCAATTTACGTACATTTTGGGGGGTATTTTAACATAACAATAACTGCGCTGTGAAGATACAAAAAAAATTATTTAAAAATTTTGGTCGCATTTGAAAATACTGTCCGCTTCCACATAAAAGCACCTTTAATACACGATAATTTACAAGTTCCAAACCAATAAAATATAAAGCTTTAATTAAATAAAAGTTAAAGTCATAGCCACCTACATTTATTTTATAAATTTATATTAAATAACTACATGTATATCAACTTCCAGATTTTTTTTAATGTTTATGTTTAAAAAAACCACATCTATTCATTGTTCTTTATTGCAGTGGACTAGTCAGAAACAAAAGGAATTCATCTGTGACAGAAGACTTTTTAAAATATGCAGTTAGATGGATGTCAAATTGTGTTCATTTGATTCTTTTTCTCAGGAAGCATAACTTTAAACTTCCATTTGTTGGACGGAAACTGTCCGACGATGACCCACAATCAGCATTCAGAAATCTAGCAACAGGTCTTGAGGAAATTGTTGTGTTTTGCTTCCAACAGGCGATCTATGCAATAACCAAGGTAAGCAATGTGACGTTATAGTATTTTGGGCAAAGGGGACGAATATCAAATAACTCCTTCAATTGTCCATACATTGAAATATTTTCCATTTGATTTTCTAGAGGGAATCCAAAACGGTTTTGTTATGAAAAGTAAAATAAGAGATACACATAATGTAATGAGCAACCTATGAGAGTTTCCTGTCCATGTGGTCATTTGCTTATTAGTATACATTATTATAGATAGATAGTCAATTCGTAATTGTAGTATATCTATGGGAAATCTCTAAATCATTTGATGAAAATATTTAATAGTTGGATTTCCACTTTAGACTGAACTATTTGTGCGGTGTGATTAAAACAGGATAATTTACAAGAGATGCCGACACAAGAATGGTAGTAAACGTTGGTTGAAACCGAAATTATATTTTTGTGCTAATTTTGGATCAATCGCATGTATATTTTTCTAATTTTATACTTATATCGTCCCATACGGCACTTTTGATATGGACTCCCCAGTCTATATGGCATATGTAAATACTGGTTTTGTTAAGTCCAAAGGCATATCCGTTTGGCTGTGTCAGATATTGACTGTCTTGGGATGTTAAATTCAAAAAGTGAATTATACTTTCTGAATGATATAATAAACAGCAATGCAAAATAGACCCGTCCTATTGAAAAGAATGAAACAGAAAGCAATAAATCAGAGTTAGTAAACTGGCCTTCCAAAAAAAAAAGAACTTGCCAGACGATATCATTAGGCTTCAAATTGTTTGGTCAATACGCCTTAATGCTGAAGAGGCATATCTAAACAGACTCAAAATCTTTTGAAACTCCCAAAATTATTGTAAAGTTGCCTGGAAATTTATCTGTGCATACTTGAGTTAGTTTGTGACATACGAGAAAAAAATAATTGAATCTGACAGTTAGAGTCTCAAAACTCTAGAACAACATATCGGAAACATTTCAAAATTGCAATGGAGCTGGTAAAATTGACGTCACACCGTTATACTTTTGTTCAGGACTTGGTTGATCGTTACAAAATATCACCACGGATGCGTTCCAATTGTGGACCAAGTTTTATTTGTCGCAATTAACGTTTTACTCTTCCCGATAACCTAAGCTACCCAACGGTTACTACATGTAATTGGATTTTAATTTCATAGGCGAAAATTATGCTACTTTTTTATTACATGCGAGCATTGTTTGAATAACGGCATAAAAATGACAAAACCAAAGGTCGATCAGTTCTAAACATTTTTTTAATTCAAACTAAATCCCATAAAAGAAGACATCTTCTTATACACCATGCTGCCAGAACCTTCGTGATTATCTTTAATTACATTCACCCAAATTGAATCACCAACATCCAACAGTGTTATTCCAAACGCTGAACCTGAGTTATATGTATTCGGTGCAACGCCTTTTGAAAATGCTACTACACCATCATCTAAAATCATACATACAGCAATATATTACAAAACGTCAAACAGAAATAAAAATAATTAATACTCGGGGTTTCTGAGATTTCCCGGTCTCGCACTCTTTCCATAAGTGATGCAAAAATGCCCATTTACATATAATAGCTTGTTATCACAAGGACATAGAATAAGTTTTTCTTATATACATTGTAACATCATAAGTTGTTGCTAAAATGTATTAAATGTAGGTACTGAAGCGTACATAATTTCGTTTCGGTTGTTTGTGAAGCGAGGATTGTATAATAAAAAGTATCTAATTGATTTGCACATATTTTGGCATTTTAAAGACTATAACCATAATTTTGTTGGTGTGAGTTTGATTAGTAATTGTGATTTAGTCATGTTAGTAACTGTTTATAAATTTGATCCCATCTTCAGAAAATAGAATTTGTTATTGAATGCAAAAAACTGTATGATTTTCAGTAAACGATATGCATGAGGGTCTGGATGGGTTTTACAGAATAGAGAATAATTGGCCAAAAAATAAAGAATAGAGAATAAAAGGGTGCTAAAATATAGAATAAGGAATAATTGGCAAAATTTATAAAGAAAGAGAAAAATGACTTTAATAAAAATTTAAAGTATACTGAATTGAAGGAATCACAATCTAGAACATCATCCACATCCACACACCTTAAAATTTTGTCACTTTACCCTCAAATAATGTGCATCTGTCATTATATGTATGATGTGTAAACACCTTTCGGGTCCTTTTGTGATGCAGTTCCTGTCTGGTCGACGTGAGCCCCAAATTTCTTTTACTAAGATGTAATGCTGGTATACAAATGCTGGATAAAAAGCTTATACATATATTATTTTTGTATGGAAAAAAAGCTTACCCACCCGTCAATGTGTACCTCATGCAAAACTCTATTGTCCTATATATAACAACTATGAGGTTTATCGTAAAATTTTTGCGAAGATGCTGATCGGAATCAGCTGCGACGAAGACAGCAACCGGTCTACTCGTATTCATGTATATTAACCATAATGACAACAAAAGAACAACATTATAAGAATTTGTAAATGATAAAATGTTAAATGCACATCATATGAAAATTAAAGTATTCACAATATAAATTGTAGAATGGGCATCGCACATCACATAATGTCGTTCCCAAATCATATCATACAATGGTAATACACATCATACAATGAAATTTGAACATAATATGAAAAGTGCTTTGGACACAGCAAATTTATAAAGTGTTATTTTCATATAACAAAAAAAAGGTCAATGCTTCGTTCATATAAGGTTAGTTCCACGTCATATTATTATAGATTTCATATCGAGTGAGACTAGAATATCGCTTGATATCAACTCGGGTTTTATTTCAATATAATAATAAAAATCGAGCAATTGGCGATTTACATTGGAGGCTCATTGAAGAAAAATAGTACACTAACTAATTTTCGATGTTTTATTTGAAAGAGATACAGTAATGAACAGCTGCTGGCATAAATTAAATGTATGAACTTATGTGTCCCTCCGACACAGTCGTTGTTGACACATGTGTCCCTACGGTATCATCGCTGTTGACACACTTGTCCTTCCCCAGCAAGAGGGTAAATTTTATAAATTGACATTCTTCTGTTGTGGTAAAATAAACAAAAGGGTTTTGAAGATAATTTTACAACAATAATGTAACACATTTTGGCAGAAGATTACACGGGGTTCTAAACGATGTAAAATTAAACTCATTTATTAAAAAAAAAAGAAATACTGTTTTAAGTTGTATAGTAGATCCGTCAAACATATAATACTATAACATACTATTTGCGCATTTATTAGGTCACAGTATCTCGTTGTTCAACATAATAGGCTCGTCTTAACTGGACAGCTTCGTCTGCCAATTTACTTTAGATATATGTTTTTAATTTTTTTTATTTACCTGATGCTGAAATAGGGTCGACAGACCGAGTCTTTCTTTTGGAATGGATTCCATGACTCAGGGATTTCATCTTATTCTCAAATGTTCCTAATTCGACAACACTGCTATTATTTAAAATATTCTCACTACTTGACAGAACATCTGAAGCGTCCACAAACTCATCCTTTCTATACCGCTTTCTTTGAAACTGTTCAACGGAGTAAAATCTGCTTTCTAGCTCTCCATTCTTTGAAATAAGAGAATTGACCACAGTTCTTAAATTTCTATTATCTTCGACAGTTTCCTGATGAGTCTGTTCCATTTTTTTCATTCTATCTTTGAGGATGTTCATTTCTGAAACCAAGATACGCACGCTTCGTTCTAGAGATAATTCGGCACCTGTTAAAACACTTTCAACAAAGGTGTTTGAAATAATCCCTCCAACAGCAGTAATGAGAAAGCATAATCGTAAACGCAACATCTCTGTCTCAACTTGCGTTCTTTAATACGTTCAAGAAAATTTGCGTGACAGATGGCAATCTTTAAGGTAATTGACCTGAAGATAACATCGATATCCTAAAAGAAAAACAAATATATGGTAAATTCAACAGACATATTTTGGTTAAGTTAAGTTCTGTTAAAAACTAGACATTATCTACAAGGTTTGATTGTGGTATCTCGTTTAATTTTGTCATTTATTTCAAAGTGTGTTCAGTGTCTTGACGCAGCTGCTTTCCCATAAGTAAGCTTTTTTAAATTATAACTTTACAGTCCTACAACTAAGCCCAAGAAATTACATCAAAATGATGTTGGATTGAAAATCAGCTTATCAGATGCACCACTTAGAAAACACAAAATTTTCAAATAAATTTGTCACTTCAATTATAAGTTTGTATGTTGATGAATACCACATGTTTGGTTTCTTGGTAATAGGTGGTAATTGTTGCATGTAATTGTTGCATGCAGGAATTAATAGTAAATACACAACACTTATCAATATTTATAAATGTGAATGAGACTAAACAAGTATAGTTCAAACCTGTCAATGTTGAGGCAAACTTTATGACTTCGGTAATACAATGTTGCAGTTAATTATGTCATGTCAAACACACAAGGCTGTAAGTTGGGATTTTATTTGGAGCTGAGCGGAGTGATACAAGGCGAGTGGAAGATCGATAAATGTTTGAAGAGGTCTTCATATTTTATTTCATTAAAAAAATATGACTGAGAAGATTGTTTCTTCGTCAATCAACTGACCAGAAATAAAGCTACAAAAAAATATCAAATTATCTCACTTATCTGGTGTGAGGGATTATACTATTGCTCAGACCTATTTACAGCTCAAAATCAAGATTCTAAGAAAAAAGTTTCACTCGTTTTGGTTAAATAACTTTGATTCTGTCTGAAAAAAAAGAATTTAATATTGCAGAAAACTGGAAAAAATCGCCTTTCGTTTCATCAATAATAATCCAAGCGTAATCTGTCATTTACTGTACTTGAAACATTTATGTGACCAGATAAAACGTCTACATATATACAGCAAAAGTAGACTAAAAGAACTCGTGGCTATAAGTTCTTATAAATGTTTTGCATTCGGCGATCTTTAATCAGAAAACGAACTTTCAGCTCTGTAGTTACATTGATTATTCAGTATTGTTCTATCGTCAGAAACTAGTCTTGTAGTCTGGTTGCCATATTACTCTTGGTTGTATTGCAAATTTTTATTTGACATCAGACGTATGCAAATTGTGTTTCTATGGCAAAAATTTGCTTTACAAATATACAACTTTCATTAAAATAAGAAACTTGCAATTGCATATCATTGATCTTAGTGCTTTTACTGCGAGTTTTAATCATATTATAGCACATTCTGTACATTTAAATACCATTGTGTATGTTGAGGACTATCATAATTGGGCCTGGTTATTTGTGTGTAAAGTAAGAAACATTAAGTTATCATTGTTAAAAGCTGTATCTTTTTTTTTATTTTACCCTTTTAGAAAATTGCAATTTTATTAATATTGAACTAATATCACATTTTTGCAGCACTTGGGACGATTTTCAACTTGCTTAACGATCAAGTCATGTGCTTATTGTTCAAGATTATACACTTGAATTTTGACTAGGTATTCGTTGTCGGTTAGTGTGTCTTATTCAATGGTTGATCAATGGCTCTCTGTATTTGTCGAATTCTGTGTTGTTCGATGACCGTCTCATTCTTTGTAGTTGGTATGTTTTTCATTTCATTTGCTGCTTGATAGGCAGTGGGTCGGAAATATGTGTTGTGTGGTGTTTTGTTATTCGGGTTGTCGTATGTTATTTTAATTTGCTAATTGATTCGTTGATAATTGTTTTGTGTTTAATTGGTGACTGTCATACTTGTTTTTGTGGTTTGTTGTTGGTGTGTTTTGTTTATGGCAATTTTATTAGTTATTGGTTGTCTCATTCATTGCTGGTTGCAGTGCATTTTTCGGTAACTGTCTCATTCGCTATAGTTTTATTGCATGGTTACAACACACCCCTGAAGAAGTGATCCATCCTCATATTGCTTATCGAACATAACTTAAATATTTTAAACACTTTTAAAGAATTAACAATCTCTAACAATGAAATATTTCATTGCAAAAAGTTAAAACGTGTCAAGTTCAAATTGATCAAATTTTTTTAATCATTTATTCATTTAAATTCTTCTGAATCATATCGTAGAGCATAATTTTTAAATTAAAAATAAGTTTTTGAAACGATTAAAAAATCGTTATTTTTCTATAATTTGACATGAATGATTTTCCATTTACAGCGTTTAATACAAAACCAATTCAACCTATATTTAATGATAATAAAATGAAATTTTATAAAATTGGTATGGTAAATCGTTTCATCGAACCCAACTTCATACACTGAAGTTATTGATTCTTTATTTTTGTATTGAATTGTGCTTTAGTAGTGGAAATGGAGAATACATTTTATCGTAAGATCTTTACAAAGTCATTGCAAGTAGTGTAAATAATCATTTCAAATTACTCTCCCTTTGAAAACACTGCTGTTCAATCACATTCAATTATAAGTATACCTAAAACTAATTATACAGATTTAATGTTGCTGAAAAATAATTGATAACGTATTGTATTCATAGGAAAAAAAATAATTATAAAAGTAATTATGTAAGTCATTGTACAATTTACATGGGAGTTCTTTAATAATCAATTGAACTTTATCTTATTATGAAACTCACCTAAATACTCACTTGAATACAAATACATGCATATTGCTTCAATAAAGCGTTTTGTTTGACTATAATATTCCAGGTGAAGGTTTTTGAAATACTAAGTACATGTACGTAGAAATTGAAATGAATTAAATGTATTGACTGGTTGATATTTGTTTTTCTTTTTGTTGCTTAACTTCAGAATTTGATGCAAAATGCAGCATGAGAATTTAAATTTACGACCAATTTTAGATGAAAAATATGTGAATTGCATCTCCTTTGTTTTTCCAACTGCACTGGGAATATCGTGGTACCATGCTTACATGGTGTGCAGGAGGTCGCGAGTTTGATCCCCATGCCGGGTCAATACAGAATTGAAGATTTGCATTTACTGCTTCTCCATTAAGCACATGATATTTAAGAGTAAGACTCAGTCGACCAGGAGTCCGAATAACGTGTCCAGGTACGTTGACATTTCTTCCTGCAGACCGTTGCTTTCTGAACCATTATATTGAACACCTGAAACAGTATGCCTGAACAAGCAGGATGCATACACATGTTCATAGTTCTCGTCCTGAAATTATGTAATGTTTGCCACTGGACGTTAAACAATAATCCATACATCCGTTTAAGTTCTACGCCAGTGGATACTTAACAAAAAAGACTGAAGGTCAGACCGCCACATCCCCGTTATTTTGTATGGAATAAATTTCGAAATTTTACATTCAGTTTTACAAATTTGAACTATAATAAAAAATCTAATGTTTATGTCATAAAACACATTTTTAAAGTTTTTCCTTCTACTTCATATTGTATTTCAGCTATGGTAATTCCAATCTAATTTCAGGCTCTCTATGGATTACTTGGAAGTGTTCTGGATGGAAATCCTTTCACAGAAAGTGATACCATGAGCAAGAGAAATGGAATGTCAAAAATAACAAGTGTTTTCGATGCTGTGCTTCGCTTGACAACCGCTCAACAACTGCACCAGGACGTACTAAAACAAATATTTATGTATCTCTTCTTTTTCTGCAGTACCTCTATCTTCAACAAACTGTTTCAAGATGGTAAGAATCTTACTGACACATATAACTACTTCAAAAAGTTTCAATATGATTGAAAGTATACTTTGTTAACTTTTTAGCTTTTGTTTCAAATAATACTACCGAATACTGTTTTTGCATTTAAGTAAAGATGAAAAATAATGTATTCTCGGGTCAAGCTTCGCAGATTCCCAAATAGCGATAAGGCCTATCGATTCAGATCATTCTAAAGAATTTGCCTTCGTGACTCACTGCAATTTGTTAAAAAAAAACTCGCTGTCGTTTAGGTGGAATTATACTTTGCTGACTTTAATGAGTTCTGAATACAAGTCGGTACAATATGGATCATTCTTTTTTTTCAACTTTTTATATTTCATGATTAATCATAATAAAAGAGTTACCATTTATTTGAAAATTTAAACACGATTGTTTTAAATCATAATGATAAGCGTGATACCACAAATCTAAAACAAAAACATGCGCAGTGTGTACAGACCAATATCTCGTATGCCTGAAATCAGACGCACTTTTGAGGTACTAGAAACAAATAATTTGTATGTGTGTTTTTTCAGAAAATGACCAATGTTTTACATAGGACACACCAATAGCGTTTTTTAACAAAGATAAACTGTCAATGTTTTTTTTTCAAAATAAAAATGAATGTCAATAAATATGTTAAAATACAGCCAAAAATACTTCTATTGTCTGTTTATTTGTACAGTGCTCCGAGATATATTACTCTCGGCATTTTTTACATACACCTCATTAAAATTTTAGGTATAGAAACAAGGTCAACTTGTATTCTGCTATCCGGTTGTTATAACCTTCTAAGGGTTGTCTGTTTTGGGGATATATGAATATGAAGCCACGTCCTGACAGCAGGAGGGTGATTATTCAGATGCCCATTGATCGGTGACGCCCTGTTTTGTGCATAGTTACAAATTTTTACTTGAAAATATTTGCCAGTGGATGTTAAAAAAATTAAGGCACTATTAACTTTTCGGTTACTAGAATATCGAAATAAATGTGTAAAAAAATAACATGAAAAACAGAACAAACAACCTGAGTACACATTCTTGTCTTTCGACGAAAATGTAGCTACCATTGTTGATGACGAAGCTTAGATCTTGTGTATTTGTTTCAGATTCAGGTCCTATTTACTACAACTGGACTGCAGGTGTCAGAATACGAACTAACCTTGGCCAGATTGAAGATTGGGCTCAAAGAAATGGCTTTGAAGAAGAATTTACTCAAGTCTCTGAAAAACTTCTCACTGCTGCAGAATTCCTTTCTACCTCCAAATCTTTATTACTAAAAGTAAGTAATATAGCACAAGCAGACGTACAACACTACACTCTTGGTGTCATTTATTTACTGAAACCTGTTCCTGAAACTACTTTAAAGGATCTTAAAGGGAAAATCATGCAACATGGCGTCAGTATCAACTTGGTTTATTTACATCAATTCATGCAATGGCTATGAAATTGCATAATCTCAGTTGTAATGACCATACTGTTATTCAATACAGTATTTTTACATAATTATACCAAAAAGCTGATCGTGTAGGAAATGGAGTCAACTAACTGACGTTGCAGGATCTGCATGATCATTCTGGATTATTTTCAGAAGTGTGGTTAAAAACGTCCTACACAATTGATATGCATCCATTTTGGAGTAAAACCAATTATCTATTTTAAAATATAAACATTGTGTATACGATTCATTGACATAATGCTTTAAATTGACAATAAGAAAGCAACCCAACGACAAAAAAAGAAGACTTTTAAGTGTTTATAGATGGTCTACAACAACAGACTAGTGTCTATACAGTATGTCTAGGTAATTAGAACATAATCAGTTAAGATGATTGATATGTGAGAATAGTTTGAAAACATATTATTATTAAGTTCATATATATTTAACTTAAGATTTGCGGCATTGATATTTTTCAGTTTGACTGGATGAAACTAAAGACCCATTTTCAACCATTAAACGAGGCGCAACTTTATCATCTGGTGGGTGGGTATGATAATGGCGATAAACCACCGCCTCCTTCATGGTTACCATCACCAGAAGACAGACATCAGGCAGACATGAAAGGTATTGGGAATTTCGTTCGTTCCCTTTTGTAATTTTGTAAACGAAGTGTTAGTGTTCTATGAAGGTTTCGGAAACCAATTCATGATACATATAAAGTAAAATTGGGAACAAGATAACTTCAGTGTCTTAATTCAGACAAATATACAGATATAATATATATAGCATAAGAATATTATGCATTTTATTTGTTTACTTTTTTATTTCAACCAAAGGAAACGTTTTTCAATTCCATTTATAAAAGGATAAATCCGACTTTCTGGGACGGTGTTTGCATGATCCACATATTGAACGAAATTATATTTTAGAAATTTTCTAAAGTTTTATGAGCTTTTAGAAAAATGGATTTAAATCATAAATTCATGAGAATCCTATTACAATCTCTTTGATAGAAGATATACCTTTGGAAATGACAGCACATCCGCCATTTTTGATTCCACAAGACAATGGTTGTATTGACTTGATGCACCCTCCTGATGATTCTAATTTCTGGAAGATTTTCAAAGAACTTCATCCAGTATATGGAGTAACTGAAGGTACATTTTGAGTTATGTCATAACATGCACTTTTGTATGTCATGTACCATGATGACAAATTTTAGTTTTATAGTTTAAATGTTTTGAATAACCGATATCACAAATATCATATACAGCAGGATGTAGGAAATATATAATATGGCCCATATGATTGCAAAAGTAGTGAAATTGTTCACGCCATTAAAAATTATGTTAATTTTTATTGATAAATTAACAGAATGATTTGAATTCGTGCGATACATGTTTATGGAATAACCTTCATCAGCTGTGCCTTAGACAAAATGTTAATCAATGGGAATCAACACATTTTGAAACATTTATTAAGTGCCTAGTTAACAGGTTTGCTACTGAAAAGCCACCATCATATTTCAATTACCAATTTTATTGCTAAGCTATCATGCGCATTTTTTGCTTTATAGCAACACCTAATCTAACACTTGCTTTTAAATATATAGTGTTTGAGATTCTATATTTATAAAATAAATGGTTGCTAGATATTGTGTTCAAAATTGACGGTAACCACTTGCAAACAGATTTCATGTAAAAAAGATTAACTGCATTGTACATAACTGAATTTTTTATTTATTCAGATGACAGTGATAGCGGATTCAGTCCCTCTAATACTCCAAGATTTTCCAGCAACTTTCCTAAAGCTGAACTTCACAATTCTTTCTTCAATACTCCTGATGGTAATCGTAGTGATACAGAAGTGTATAGAGATTTAAGTCAGAATGAAGATACAACCTCTCCAACTGACATTAGTACTGTAGCCAAAAAACAGTTCTACAAACTTTCATATGAAAGTGATACTAATTCAACGCCAAAGACTTCCACGCCCTCTTCGCCAAAACATCCCCCATCGTCAAGACGACAAGAGTCTATCAACAGAAGACTTGATTTGTTAATCACAAACAATAATTTAAACGTTCCTGAAAATTTTCAAAATGATATTACTCCAATCGAAGACGCTGCACCACCCCTGCCACCAAGAAGTTACAAGTTTCCTTCGTCACCAACATCACCACAGCAATTGACAAATGGAAGTCTTTCTCTAAGTACTAACAGTATCAGTCTTAAGAAACAGTTATCACATGAACTTGACGATGAGGATCCCTTAGGGAGGGAAAATCTTGCTCAAGTAAATCGTCAGATCTACGAATCACTTGGACAAATGAGTCCGACAAGTAAGTTTAAATTCCAGGTAGCAAGATTCAAAATATTATGTTTAATTTGATCTATAACTCTTGTTTAAGCGATTTTTGTATTAATGTTGATTCATTTTATTTTTTTTTAATTCGAAAACCCGGACAACAATTTCATTTTTGGCACTGGCTACTATTACCTGCAAAAAATAACCATAATGAATAATTATTGATACTTACGAGACTACTACGGAAGTGTAATTACGGACAGTGGGGCTGATTTCAAACGGAAATTGCAGGTAACAATAATATCATTTCTTATTGTTTCATGCAGTTATTGTTACCCGCAAAATATATCTAGGCAGGCACTGATCTAAAAAAATGTTTCATTTGCGAGCAATCTGTGGAATAAGTTTAAACAATGAATTTGTGAAAAAGCATTAACATGATTAAACTTCCAGATGTATTGACCAATGTGACGTTCATTTTTGCCTTTGATGGCCCATCAAAACAACTCACTGTTCTTAAGTATGGATACGAAGCCGTCCAATTTGCGGTCGGTGCATACATATGGATCTGCAATTTCCGTATGAAATGGGGTACCTGTCCAAAACTATATTTCGGCAATAAGTCTCGGAAGTTACAATTTCTTATTGTTACTTTTTGCGGGTAATAGTAGCCAGTGCTTTCATTTTTATATGAATTACATTATATATTAATTGTCATCCATTAAATATACCAAAAATAATGAAACATGAAATACCTGGAGTCATATCATTTTTTTACTATCTTTTTTTACAGATAGCAGACCTCCACTGGTTCCAGTTTTGGGTACTACAGTGAAGTCAGCAAATAATCCGGTTTTCTCAGTTGGGATCACAAAGGGTGATAAGGGTCTAGGACTTGGCCTGATAGACGGCCTGGTGAGTTGTCTGTTTAAATAAATTGCTTCCTTACATTAAGTGAACATTAGATGGATTAAGGATGTACTAAGGTCAGGTTTAGAAATTTTTGTCAGATGTTCGGACTCCTTGGTTTTTTTCCTACGATACAGGGTAAAATATTTGCCCCATAACACCCATAGCTCATAAAAAGTCATTTACCAAAATTTAAGCAGATTCTAGATTTTTTTTTTCTCGATTTGAGACCCAAATAATACCAATGCAAATATAAGGTAAAAATCCGAGTCAGCCTTTTTCCGCCATTTTTTAAAACTCAAATATCTCGAAAAGGAGCTCCATAACCTATCAATATTTATAGCTTATTTTGTTCCTTAACTAATGCTCTTCTGACTTTTAGTATCAATTTTAAATTCTAGATTTTTTAATTTCACCTAAGTACATCCTTACGTTACTCTTTTTGTGCACCATATGGGTTTTATAGCTACTCACGTATTCTAGTAATTATACAGCCTTGACTTTCAAATGTTTGATTTGAGTATTTCAATTGAATGTTTATCCAGAAAAGCGATTCGGACGCAACAGGTTGATAAGTGTCTTTTGTTGTTTTTTTTAAAAGAACGTTGAATCGATAACGTTGCAAGAAGTCAAATATCATGTCTTGCTACACTAAATATGAATTATGATTTTTAACTTGCGTTGTTGAGTGCTATCTCATTGTCGTGTTTTATTCATATGAAAAATAAAATTAATGACTGTATTGGATTAACCAGAAACCTTCTTTAACGCTTGAAACACTTTGCCATCACCAAATAAACCACGATTTGAAATTATAAAATTAATGTATCTTATTTTTGAAGAAGGAAAACCAAGATTATGGTATATATTATTGCATCGCGACAAATATAGCAATATCGTATATAAAAAAGAAGATGTGGCATGATTGCCAATGAGACAACTCTCCACAAGAGACCAAATGACACAGAAATTAACAACTATAGGTCACCATACGGCCTTCAACAATGAACAAAGCCCATACAGCATAGTCAGCTATAAGAGGCCCTGAAATGACAAATGTAAAACAATTCAAACGAGAAAACTAACGGCCTAATTTATGTACCAAATAATGAACGAAAAACAAATATGTAACACAGTGCTAAACAAACGCCACTATACGGTATGGGTTTTTCTCATTGTTGATGGCCGTACGGTTGCCTATAATTGCTTACATCCACTTTATTTGAACTTTGGTGGATAGTTGTCTCGTTGGCAATCACCACATCTCCTTATTTTCATATCTATAAAAAATTGTGAAGTCAGCAAAAGTTTCAGATCTATTGTTCTATTAGATACGTAATTGATGTATATTTAACGTCTAACCTATCACAAAATTAAATATTTTTTAATCAATCACTTGTAGTATACACCTCTAAGACTGGCCGGGATATACATTAGAAAAGTCTTGCCAGGAAGTCCAGCAGCAGAAATTGGTAAAATACAAGTTGGCGATCGTCTGCTATGTGTGAATGGTAAAAGTATAGTTGGTGCTGATTATCAAAGGTTGGTTCACTATAACTGATTTCCATGTTTTCGGTTGTCATTTACTGGTTGATTTCAATTATGTCACGAAGGATTTATATAGCACTGATCACCTTTTTGTCCTGATATCTTAATTACTACCACCGGGGTCGATTCCTCTGCTTGTGGACTGTTGGTCACCGAGGGTATGTCGTATTTTCTCGTGTATTGGGGTAATAGCTAATTTTAATGTTCTACATACCTTTTTCTTTCTGTCTGTGGATTTATCATAATTGTTCTATGTACAAAATGTAGTAGTCCATCCGAATCGTTTGATCTTTTCACTAAATACTTTTTGCCATGCAAGTTTAAAACAAATATCTCGATGTGCTATGTGAACGTATAACTGTTTGTATTGTTTTTGTATTCTAAACTGTTATTGTCGGGCTTGTTATGACCTGATTTGTCAGATTTCTTTGTCTGTTTTAGTCTGTAATATCTAATATTTCCGCATTAATGTAGGAGCGTAGCGTTATAGAAGATAATTACGCTAAAACCCGTGCTAGAAGGTATCTTGAACATCCAGAGAGTTGGAACTATATGCCTCATGTTGGAGGCAAAGAACAGCTGTAAAAGCACTGATCCAAGGCTTTAGGTTTCGTTAATTGCGTGTACATATTTTATGTCTTGAATTACATATTACATGTAATATTAATAATGTGGATATTAATGTCATCAGACAAGAATGTCAGCAAAGGAATGGTGTTCTAATTACACTAATTTCGTTTGTTAAGCATAACATTTATAAATGCATATTAGCACTCTGCAGAATCAACCCCTGCACAAGTCATTATACAAATTCGCTCATTAGACAACATAAGTCTGTGTCCACACTTATATAACTCGAACAAAATTTATTAGGTGTTAACGATTCTAACAATTCTTGTTTTATTTTCCAGTGCTATGAAATTGATACGTGCGGCTGGAGAGCAGTTGACGTTATTAGTAGCCAAAGGAAACGAGTCCATTGCCACGAAGATTTCATCATCAAGTTGCTAAAAAGACAGGATCATTTTTAAATGTGTGCACATACAGTTTGATGTATAATATTTAAATTTAAATGTAATATCTTCTATTTATAAACGTTTATTACATCATTTTTGAACGTTCAAGAATTTAATTTCATTCATCAGGTATCATGTAAGATGTTAAAAGAATTTTAGATTGATAAGATAATCTGTTCTTTTTTTATATTTCAAATTATTCTTATTTTTGAAAGATTTTTTTTTGAATATTTGAACTTCGTCAAGATCATTTTAACCATCTACCTAAGAATGAGATTTCGATATGTTTGTTGTCTAAAAATTCATAAAAATGACAAATCTACGCATTGTGGATTCTAAAATATGTATCGTATGGAAAGACTCGTTATAAAACATTATAACAATATACTATATATTATCTATGATTTATACTATTTGTGAATAAAATTTTGATATGTGATTGTTACATATTAGTGTTCCTACTATTAAACGAAAAACCTTACTTATAAAGATATGAAAAATTTGACGGTATTAAGCAAACTACCCGGCAGTTCCAGTTCCGATCCGCATGCTTCTCTCCACTAATGTTGTAAAGGAAAATAGTTTCGGAACGGAATGGATTAATATACGGAATTGGGGGTATGTAGAAGAAATACAAATGAAACTGCTTTCCAATCGCACTGCATATGTTATTTGATTGTCATTCGTGACGTATGGTCGAGATCAATAGTTTCTTACCCCAAACATTTGAAATATTCAGAGGATGACAATAAAAAGCGACCACGCAAAATGTGAATGTGTAAAAAGCTTAAAGTTACTACCTTATTATTTAAAGTTAATCCTACCTTAAACCAAACCTTTGACCTATCACATTTCCATGTTCAGTGAACCATGAAATCAGAATCAAAACACTTATATGGCATATACATTACACAATTCACTTAATGCGTATTAACTTTCAAGATAATATGAGCACAAACTACTTAAAATAAAATTCTGAACCTTCCTTAAACCAAAAATATAACTTATATAGAAAAGACGGACTGGCCAACGGACAGACATACCGACAGACTTGGAAAATATGTCCTTGTCCGTAGGCGGGGTAATTGAAGAAAAGACTACGCTACAACCATTATTAAATACCTGCAGAAAAGATTTGCAGTAATGACTACTCATTATTCGTAAGATAAGATATTGCCATACACTGTAATATGAACTTATTAGCAAGGAATGAAGGTATTGCAACCGCAGCAGATGACGATACGGACTGATATTTTTTTCCCGAAAACGTTAGCGCATGTGATAGCGTAAATGTCAACAGTACATTAAAAAAAATCGGTACAATAAAAGAGTGTCGAAAGATGCCAAAGGGACATTTAAACTCATAGGTCGAAAAAAAAATTGACAACGCAATGGCAAAAAAGAAAATGACCACAAGACAAACCACATGATACAAAACACATCGTTGTATAGAAAACAAAAGAAAATTACCTTTGTTTATATAATTATCAGCAATGTTCTATTAAGGTAACTTTTACCGGCAACACAAGCTGCTGAGTATCATATCAACCAAAATAGAAACAGGCTGTTGACAGTTATCAAAGGTACCAGGATTATAATTTAATACGCCGACGCGCGTTTCGTCTACATAAGACTCATCAGTGACGCTCAGATCAAAATAGTTATAAAGCCAAACAAGTACAAAGTTGAAGAGCATTGAGGACCCAAAATTCCTAAAAGTTGTGCCAAATACGGCTAAGGTAATCTATTCCTGGGATAAGAAAATCCTTAGTTTTTCGAAATATTCAAAGTTTTGTAACAGGAAATTTATAAAAATGACCATATAATTGATATTCATGTCAACACCGAAGTGCTGACTACTGGGCTGTTGAAATGTTTCAATGTAAATTTACAGTCCTCTTCAAGTCAGAAAGAAGTTTTTTGTTGTGACATTCCCTGTAGGATTCTAGTCAAAGACTGATCTCGTAGTTCCTAAGTTAATCTAAAAATGCTTCTAAAATCTAAGATGATAGAGTTACATGTGTCTGATCTCCAGTAGGAATAAAAACCAGGTTCAACAAGCGAATACTTGAATACTTTTAAGACTGTTTAGAAGGGGGTACATAAAACGAAAATGTTTGCCTCCGTACGTATAACTGCTAACTAAACATTTCATAACTGACTCATAGAATAGTTATATGAACCTGTGCTGTGCCTTCTATCTTCCATTTATAAGAGTAATTCAATCTTATTTGTTATAGGTAAAACAGTATCAGTATTGAATTAGAGATAAACAAAATTGAAAAAGTTAAATTATGCACTAAAATAAAAAATGGGATTCGGAAACAAGTTTTAAAAAACTTATATAACTCCTTTTTCGGTCTGTTTGTGTAACTTACTCATTTATTTGCCGGTATATACATGTTTTGTGTTTTTATTTTCATTTTTGTAAACGAAATTGTCTGTGTCCTTATTCAATCTGAGAAGCTATTAGTTCAAAAGTCTTCTTTTTATTTTTATTATTGGAGGAAAGATCAAAATAACCAGTTTCAGATCCCTTTTTCTATTCTGTGAGACAGAAATATATTAACATCACTTTGAGACAGGAAATATATTAACATCACTTTGAGACAAGAAAACATTAAATAAAATATAGAAAAAGATGCTAAAATACCGACGCAATTTATTTACATTTATGCATGACCAAGTTCCTAATGAATGTTATAGCACTTTCTTCAACCAACAATTGGAATCTCTCCTGACCTATAAAGAGAAATAGTCTACATTCGAGTATGCCCGTTTGATGTTATAACTTAATTGAGTAGTCATGTGTCGCTTTCAATGAAAGTTCAAGGTTGATATGCAAAAATGAGGTGTGTGATCTCGAAACAGAGTGAGACAGGATAAGAATCTCTTACTCTTTTATAAGCACTCAATCGCCTGTTACGAAAAAAGTAAAATAACAAAAATACTGAACTGCAAGGAAAATTCAAACCGGAAAATCACTTATCAAATGACACATCAAACGAATAGAGAACAACTGTCATATTTCTGACTTGGTACAGGTATTTCCTTATGTAGAAAATGGTGGCTTAAACCTGGTTTATAGCTAGCCAAACCTCTCACTTGTATGACAGTTACATATAATTCCATTATATTGACAACAATGTGTGGGCTAAACAAACAGACACAATAAGTAAAAATATCAAAATTGGGGTACAGCAGTCAACATTTCGGTATACATTCAGGTCCGTACGCTCCACAGAGAGTCAAATTGTAAACAAGCATATCACTGCCACTACCCAGCTTAAAGCCTCTTCCGAACATTTACTCATCTAGTAAGTGTTCTACTACTACATATCTATCAGTGCTTCTAACTACTTCCCTTGCTACTATCAAAGAACTTGTTATTAACTTTTGTAATAAAGCTTATGAAAATAATGGTATTAATTATTTTTGGAGTGTTAAAAATTCTTTTGAGGTTTTAGATAAAATACATGTTTTTGATGGTCCTTTTAATTCTGTTGACAGTTATGATTTTTCTACTTTCTATACTACACTTCCACACAATCTTATCAAGAAAAAGTTTTCATATTTAATTAAATGGTCTTTTGAAAAATCTCATTAAAAATTTATTTGCTGTAACTCGTTTAAAGCCTTTTTCTGTAACGAAAAAGGAAAGTATGCTAGATACACTAACTGGAAATTTGAAGATATGATTGAAGCTTTAAATTTTCTCCTGGACAACATATATGTACGTTTCGGCGATCGAGTGTATCGACAAGTAGTAGGTATTTCTATGGGCACTAACTGCGCCCCTTTAATAGCAGATTTATTCCTGTATTGCTATGAATCTCAGTTTATGACCAAACTCAGTAAAGACACGTCATTGTTACATTTGGTTGATACATTCAACAATACCTTCCGTTATCTAGATGATATTTTTTCGTTAAATAATCCAGAGTTCTCTAAATATACTACCGAAATTTACCCAATAGAACTTACTTTAACTAAATCTAACATATACAGCAGTAGTTGTCCTTTTCTAGATTTGGACATTTCAATCTTTAAAGGAAAACTCCATACGAAAATTAACAACAAAAGAGACGACTTTTCATTCCCTATTGTTAATTTTCCTTTTTTAGACGGAGATGTTCCTTTGGCTCCATCATACGGTGTTTATATATCCCAACTCGTTCGTTATGCCCGTGTGTGTAGTGATGTCATAGATTTTAACGAACGTAATCAATGCATCACTGATAAATTATTAAGTCAGGGATTTCGTTACCATAAATTACGTAAAACTTTTACTAAATTCTTTCATAGATACAAAGAATTGATTTGTAAATTTGGCTGTATCTGTAGAAAACTGATTAAAAACGATATTTAACATCCTAAATTTTACGGTAATATTGTACTTAAAGCGCGGAAATCACTATGAGATCCGTGTAAACTCATCGAACATTTCAACAAACTTATTAGTAAAGGTTATCTTACCAATGTTGTAATTAGATCTTTGAATATGGTTTACAATGGCACTAATATCGATTTTGTCATCAGCAAATTAAAACATAACTAAATTTGTATTCTTTTCAAACGGGATGTACAAAGACACACCACGTTCATTTTGATCTATAAAGAGGTTAAACTCCCAACTATCCTACTGCCTATCGATACAGTTATTTTTGGCATTGCACAAGTCATGTCTTCTTTGACTGTTCATGACGTTAAAATACTAAATCCCTGGGATGTGTTTTAGTTGATTTTAGTCTCTGATGCATGATTTTTTATTATTAATTGTTTTTGGCTTTTAACTAGCTTTCAGTAACTGCGAGCACTCTCAAATCGTACTTTCTTGTTTATTTGACTACTAATTGTAATGCTTTTTTGTTATTTAATGTTATTGAGGATTATATCTGGTCTATATACCAGCTTTGATAAGTGTTTGGTATTACTTTAAATTTTCATTTCGTACTATGAACATCAAAATTATTTATTTTGTAAAAATATTTTCTTTCTCTATTTGAACTGTACAAGTATACCTAACAACAAAATTATTTTCATTTACCTGTGTTTAAAGTAATTGCAAATGGCTGATATTTTTGTTCGAGCATATATTGTTTTTCTTAAATTGTTTTACATTTCATAGCGGTATAGCATGTTACTTTTATTATTCTTCCCTTAGTTTATTTATTTTGTATTTGCATTGTATCATAGGTCAAATTTACTTGTTCAGTGTATATTCACTGGTGTTGATATGTCCTTTGATTGAGTTAAGCCATTTCAGTTGATATTTTATAGTGTGTCTTTCTATGCTGTGATGTTACACTATTGTTTCAGAAAAAGGGTGAAGGTTTTGTACCATTATAACGTTTAAACCCGCTGCAATTGTTTGCACCTGTCCTAAGTCAGGAATCTGATGTTCAGTAGTTGTCGTTTGTTGATGTGGTTCATAAGTGTTTCTCGTTTTTTATATAGATTAGACCGTTGGTTTTCCCGTTTGAATGGGTTTACACTAGTAATTTTTGGGGCCCTTTAAAGCTTGCTGTTCGGTGTGAGCCAAGGCTCCGTGTTGAAGACCGTACTTTGACCTATAATGGTTTACTTTTATAAATTTTGACTTGGATGGAGAGTTGTCTCTTTGGCACTCATACCACATCTTCTTATATCTATATAAGCAATAGTATATCAGGGAAAGAGGCAGTTGCATATAAAGTTTAACCTGGATGAAATTAATAAACCAATAGGTACATTAGAAATCGAAATACAGTGAACGAAACCTAAAATAGAAAATCCAAGCGAAACGAGGCAAACGCACGCTCAGCAGATTACAGATATTTACGGTCAGGCTACACTTTAATCTAAAGTAACGCGCACTCTAATGAAAACTGAGTTATGCAGGTGTTCCGGAAAGGTAAGAATGTTCTGCCCTATGAGACTCTCGTCGTATTGCCTGGATGTCAAATCCGATAATCAGTTGCCTGATGGGCACTTGAAAACAAGGAATGAATTCATGTGTCTTTAGGGATCATGTAAGCCCCGTGGCAAAATGTAACATACAGCCTGCTAGTGTACTACTTTTGTTTAAAAAGAAATAATTACATTACATGGAAGTGTCATAAAACAATAAAAACTAAGTAAGTTTAAATTTGTCTGATGGTAAGGCACACTTTTTCTAATTTGTATATATTTATGTTAGAAAATTGTATCGTTAAATGACAACATTTATTTTTTTTATTTTTATTTTTTTATTTTGTTCATCCGAAGCGTTTTTCTTGAATTACCTACATCATGAACGCTGAAACTAACATTTCATATTGAGTGCTGTTTACCTTACACCGTATCAGCACATTAACGTAGACTTTGCGGACCCATGTATTAGATTAGTCAAACGTACCCATCGATAATTGAAAATATATTTCCAACTTTTAATGAAGAACATATTGTAGAAAGAAAATGCACAGTAGGAATGTAAAAATCTTATGTCGCATTATACATATTACACCGGTGTATACTTGTCATTCTAAGTTTGTGATCAATTTGATTAGGAAAACAATATAGTAATGGGGGTATTATCAAACTCTCTCTCTCTCTCTCTCTCTCTCTCTCTCTCTCTCTCTCTCTCTCGGGGGCGATGCAATTGTTATTTTAAGTAATATTGGAAACAAATTCAAAACAATTTCTTTTCGCATAGACATGTAAGCTTAAGTTAGAGATAAATAATTTCTTTTATTTTTTGCAGTTGTAAAAATATGTGTCTTTCTATGTTGTGATGTTACACTATTGTTTCAGATAAGGATGAAGGTTTGGTACCATTAAAACGTTTAAAGTCAGGAATCTGATGTTCGGTAGTTGTCGTTTGTTTATGTGGTTCATACGTGTTTCTCGTTTTTCGTTTTTTATATAGATTAGACCGTTGGTTTCCCGTTTGAATGGTTTTATACTAGTAATTTTTGGGGCCCTTTATAGCTTGCTGTTCGGTGTGAGCCAAGGCTCCGTGTTGAAGACCGTACTTTGACCTATAATGGTTTACTTTTATACATTTTGACTTGGATGGAGAGTTGTCTCTTTGGCACTCATACCACATCTTCTTATATCTATATAAGCAATAGTATATCAGCGAAAGAGGCAGTTGCATATAAAGTTTAACCTGGATGAAATTAATATACCAATAGGTACATTAGAAATCGAAATACAGTGAACGAAACCTAAAATAGAAAATCCAAGCGAAACGAGGCAAACGCACGCTCAGCAGATTACAGATATTTACGGTCAGGCTACACTTTAATCAAAAGTAACGCGCACTCTAATGAAAACTGAGTTATACAGGTGTTCCGGAAAGGTAAGAATGTTCTGTCCTATGAGACTCTCGTCGTATTGCCTGGATGTCAAGCCCGATAATCAGTTGCCTGATAGGCACTTGAAAAAAAGGAATTAATTCAAGTGTCTTTAGGGATCATGTAAGCCCCGTGGCAAAATGTAACATACAGCCTGCTAGTGTACTACTTTTGTTTAAAAAGAAATAATTACATTACATGGAAGTGTCACAAAGTTCAAGGCTTTGATTGGTTGACGCTTTCCAAAAGTTATATTTTATTGCCGTATAAAACGCAATATCTATGATTGCACATACTCTCCCTGGCAATATCAAAATGCATAGAAAACAAAGGAAAGGCTTGATTTAACACATTATTTCATGGTTGTAGCATTCAAATGTAATTATAAGAATTGACTACTTCTTTTTGTTATTTTATAGTGTCCTAAACCGTTAAACATACTTACAGTTTTAGTATAAAGCGCGGAAAATGTGCTTCGGTCAAAGCTTTTATGCCTCCATAAAATTACAAAAAGATGCATTCAAATCTTTTATGATAATTATTTCTATTTTTTAATTCGTCTTACTCTGTATGTGTCTCACAAACGAACTGGTGTAGTGTAAGACAGTTTTCATCTGCCCAATTTCCACGGAAGGGACCATACAATACTACACAGTTTCCGGAAGTATGGGCATTAGGTTCGCCCGGTTGAAAATTATTAACTCTTATCGGTTCTTGTCCGGTTGAGTATATCCATCGGTCTTCGTCGATTATATCTGATATGCCAATCCAAAATGATCCTCCTGGAAAATTGAAAACATATTATTTATATTTGCAATGTGTTCATTTGACTTATCTTATTCATTGGTCCGCAAAGTAAACATTCATGTGCTGATGCGGCGAAAAGAAAACAGCAATCAATACAATATTTTTACCCATGTAAAATAAATAAGCGAAAGTCATATTATGTTTTCAACAGTAAAATCAATCCCATGGCAAATTGGGAGAATACACATATTCCGTGTTTTTTACAGGCAAATTGAAATACGAAGAATGTACCGAGTTTCTGATTTTATTATCACATAGACATGATAGATAAACAATAAAGCTTAAAACCTATAGCAAAATTTTTGTGAGCATAAACAAAACACATTCACTTGAATAATTTAAACAATAAAATCTAAGTAATGTTAACATTGTCTGATGGTGGTGCACACATTCGTAATTGGTTAACTGAGAATATATAGTTAACATGTATAATATTACATTAAAAAAGACAAAGTCGGCACAAGACAATATATTAACTTTAAACACATTTACTTTGTAATATCTTACCCAAACAGAATATTTTAATACAAATTATATTGTTTACTGTTATAACAAAAACATACCAACTTTCTGACCTTGACTTATTATATAATTAGATTCTTCTGATGTCATGGGTTCAGCAAGTTTGGAATCAAAGACACGACAAACTGACTGCAAAAAAGATCATTACAATATGGCATTAAACGAAATTTTAAAAAAACATTCATAAACCCTTCCGGAGCACCTGAGATCAACCCCAGTTTTTGGTGGGGTTCGTTTGTTGCTCAGTCTTTAGTTTTTATGTTGTGCTTTTTGTACTGTTGTTTTTCTTTTGGTCTTTTTTTTTTTGACATGGCGTTGTCAGTTTATTTTCGACTTATGAGTTTGAATGTCCCTTTGGTATCTTTAGCCTCTCACTTTCATAAGGTGCAATATACCCCTATATACCAAACTTTCCTGCAACATCTTTTGGAGTTCAATAAAACACAGGAATAATACTGGTCAGGTTTGTAATAATGACAACGACATCCTAAAATATATCAAAAGTCAGAACTAAGACATGTAAGAGTAATCTGAAATAATTAATGCAGTTTTAAGATTTTAATTTCACTGAAAAATAGCTTAACGTTTTAACGAAGAACTAAATATCTGTTTCATTGTTCAGATTGTCATTATATTGTATTGTCAAATGTTTCATTTTTTATTTGACACAGTGATTTGGTACTTCGCTAGGCTCTACAGAACACGACCGAACAGAACTAAAAGTATGCCAAACGAAGCAATATGAGAATTACTCTAATGTTTTAGTATCATCTTTCATGTATAATATATATACACATGTCTGGTCGAGGTTTACCAAGCAATTCACAATTAAAATAAAACAAGCGTTGATTTTGTTTTGCTTTGGATTAATTTTTTTTCGGGTAAGATCTTGACAGACTGAGATAAGAAATGACTATTGTAAAAACTAGATTATTAAATTTTCAAAATGAAAGATTATTGAGTAGAACTTGTTAAGCTACAACATATCCTTATAACTGGTATGCTTAATCAAGACATAATTGTCGTTGGGTCGACTTCAATGAATTTTTAGTTTATACTGAATTTAATTCCGTTCTTGAAAGTTTAGAAGGTTGAATACATACATCGTTAAGAACAAAGAAATATAAAAAGCACAAAAACAGTACTTGTACTATGAAAGAAATCTTAAATAGGCAATAATAGTACCAGTACAATCAAAGAAATCTGAGATAGGCAAGAACAGAATCAGTACTATCAAATAAATCTAAATATACAAGAATAGTACAAGTACTATTAAAGACATCTAAAATATACAAGAACAGTACCAGTAATATCAAAGAAATCTAAAATAGGAAAGGGAAACTCCATACTAAAATTTACGACAAAAGAGACGATTTTTCATTCCCTATTGTTTATTTTCCTTTTTTAGACGGAGATGTTCCTTTGGTTCCATCATACGGTGTTTATATATCCCAACTCGTTCGTTCTGCCCGTGTGTGTAGTGATGTCATAGTTTTTAACGAACGTGACCAATGCATCACTGGTAAATTATTAAGTCAGGGATTTCGTTACCATAAATTACTTAAAACTTTTACTAAATTCTTTCATAGATACAACGATTTGATTAGTAAATTTGGCTGTACCTGTAGAAAACTTATTAAAAACAGTATTTCACATCCTAAATTTACGGTAATATTGTACTAAAAGCGCGGAAATCACTATGTGATCCGTGTAAACTCATCGAACCTTTAAAAAAACTTATTAGTTTTGAAGGCCGTACTTTGACCTATAATGGTTTACTGTTACAAATTGTGACTTGGATGGAGAGTTGTCTCATTGGCACTCATACCAATGTTGTAATTAGATCTTTGAATATAGTTAACATTGACACAAATATCGATGTTGTCATCAGCAAATTAAAACATAACTAAATTTGTATTCTTTTCAAACGGTTTTTTGGGATGTATAAATACACATCCACGTTCATTTTCTATATAGAGATTACTCTATCTATATATTACATTATACAAATTTATTAACAGGTTAGCTCCTTACTATCTTACTGCCTGTCTATACTTTTATTTTGGCATTGCACAAGTCATGTCTTCTTTGACTGTCCATGACGTTTAAACACTAAATCCCTGGGATGTGTTTTAGTTGATTTTAGTCTCTGATGCATGATGTTTTATTATTAATTGTTTTTGGCTTTTAACTAGCTTTCAGTAACTGCGAATACTCTCAAATCGTACTTTCGTGTTAATTTGACCTGTTGATACAATTTGTAATGTATTTTTGTTATTTAATGTTTACTTATTTAGTGTTATATCTAGTCTTACTATTTTTAATATATACCACCTTTGATAAGTGTTTAGTATGACGATAAATTTTCACTTTTGTTCTCGTACTAAGTACTCCATGTATACCTTACAACAAAATTATTTTCATTTACCTGTGTACGTTATTTTATTTGGCGACATTTTGTCCAAGATTATGGTTGTCTTTATGATACTGTTTTACATCTAACCCCCTTGTTTTTTATTAATTTTGTATTTAAATTGTGGCATAGATCAAATTTATTCGTTCAGTGTATGTTCACTTGTTTTTGTTAATATGTTTTTTGATTGAGTTAAGCCATTTCAATTGATATTTTATAGTGTGTCTTTTTATGTTGTGATGTTACACTATTGTTTCAGGTAGGGTGAAGGTTGGCGCCTATTAAAACGTTTAAACCCGCTGCATTTGTTTGCACCTGATGTTCAGTGGTTGTCGTTTGTTGATGTGGTTCATAAGTGTTTCTCGTTTCTCATTTTTTATATAGATTAGACCGTTGGTTTTCCTGTTTGAATGATTCTACACTAGTAATTTTTTAGGACCTTTATAGCTTGCTGTTCGGTGTGAGCCAAGGCTCCGTGTTGAAGGCCGTACTTTGACCTATAATAGTTTACTGTTACAAATTGTGACTTGGATGGAGAGTTGTCTCATTGGCACTCATACCAATGTTGTAATTAGATCTTTGAATATAGTTAACATTGACACAAATATCGATGTTGTCATCAGCAAATTAAAACATAACTAAATTTGTATTCTTTTCAAACGGTTTTTTGGGATGTATAAATACACATCCACGTTCATTTTCTATATAGATTACTCTATCTATATATTACATTATACAAATTTATTAACAGGTTAGCTCCTTACTATCTTACTGCCTGTCTATACTTTTATTTTGGCATTGCACAAGTCATGTCTTCTTTGACTGTCCATGACGTTTAAACACTAAATCCCTGGGATGTGTTTTAGTTGAGTTTAGTCTCTGATGCATGATGTTTTATTATTAATTGTTTTTGGCTTTTAACCAGCTTTCAGTAACTGCGAATACTTTCAAATCGTACTTTCGTGTTAATTTGACCTGTTAATACAATTTGTAATGTATTTTTGTTATTTAATGTTTACTTATTTAGTGTTATATCTAGTCTTACTATTTTTAATATATACCACCTTTGATAAGTGTTTAGTATGACGATAAATTTTCACTTTTGTTCTCGTACTACGTACTCCATGTATACCTTACAACAAAATTATTTTTATTTACCTGTGTACGTTATTTTATTTGGCGACATTTTGTCCAAGATTATGGTTGTCTTTATGATACTGTTTTACATCTAACCCCCTTGTTTTTTATTAATTTTGTATTTAAATTGTGGCATAGATCAAATTTATTCGTTCAGTGTATGTTCACTTGTTTTTGTTAATATGTTTTTTGATTGAGTTAAGCCATTTCAATTGATATTTTATAGTGTGTCTTTTTATGTTGTGATGTTACACTATTGTTTCAGGTAGGGTGAAGGTTGGCGCCTATTAAAACGTTTAAACCCGCTGCATTTGTTTGCACCTGATGTTCAGTGGTTGTCGTTTGTTGATGTGGTTCATAAGTGTTTCTCGTTTCTCATTTTTTATATAGATTAGACCGTTGGTTTTCCTGTTTGAATGGTTCTACACTAGTAATTTTTTAGGACCTTTATAGCTTGCTGTTCGGTGTGAGCCAAGGCTCCGTGTTGAAGGCCGTACTTTGACCTATAATAGTTTACTGTTACAAATTGTGACTTTGATGGAGAGTTATCTCATTGGCACTCATACCACATCTTCCTTTATCTAAGAAAAGTACCAGTTTTATCAAATAAATCTAAAATATACAAGAACAGTACTAGTACTATCAAAGAAATCTACAACAGACAAGATCAGTAGAAACAAAAAAATCAAAAATAAGCTAGAACAGGTCTATCAGAGAAATTTAACATAGGTTGGAACAGCACTATCAAAGAATCTAAAAAAAGCGAGAACAGTACTGTCAAAAAATCTAAAATAGGCACGAACAATATTATCAAAGAAATGTAAAACAGGCAAGAACAGTACTACTCACCATTGCCTCACTCCACGGTTCAACTTGGTGACTGAAGAAGTAGCATTTATTTCCAAACTGTGTCCATCCATTTTTACAGCCTTAAGAGGAGTATTAATATAGAAAGTATGAGATAATTGTTTAAAGATAATTGTAAATTTTGAGAATATAGATTTATACTGAGGTAACTTTTAAAATGATAAAAAATAAACCAGAAAGTACTCAAACGATTTGTAAATTATTCAACCAACTCATAAAGGAAATTAAAGTTTAAAAACTGATCTTATGAATCTGATCAATCCGAAAAAGTTACTCTGAATATATTAACTGAAGAAGTAAGTTACATAGAAGATATATTGGGTTGCAGTATACCTTGTGTAAAACTATCCGTGTTTGCACCGGAGCCTACAGTCATATTTATCATTAGCAGAGTTCAAACAATAAGAGAAGTTATTTGTAATGGCATTGTCAAAATTTAAAAACTAGCGAAAAACTAAATTTATTTTGAGATTTAGCTACGTGGCTTGTTTCATAAAATTTGAATATAACATCTTTTTTTAAGTCTTTTTTACCATGATTGATATCTTTATTATAACAAAAAAGATTGAAGATATAAAGGGACAATCAAAACTTATAAGCCGAACAAAAACTTGCAACTTTCTGTCAGCAAACAAAAGATAGCGAAAAGACAAACAAGTCCAAATCACTATATAGAAAACTTTAGACTTAGCAACACGAACCCCATCAAAAACTAGCAGTGATCTCAGGTGCTTCAGAAGGATAAACAGCTCAAAATACAGAAATAAAAGATATATGGATAAGGAAGTTGGGGTTATGACCTTTTACTTTACATATGCTATTGTTAATTAACAAAATTGCCCTTGATTTTTCAAATATCACAAAAGACACTTGCATAGTCCCAATAAAAAAAAACAACATTATAGGCACTTATGCCTCACTTAGAAATTGATGTTTAATATATATATACATATGTATGAGACTGCCTTGACAAGTAAATTAAACAGAAAATTTTAAGTCCAGTTGAGCTAACTACTTTATTCTAATTGGCGTCTATTGATATAAATGGACGCCAATTAGAATTTCATTTTTACTTTTTGAGAACTAGGCTTCAAGATATTTTTTTAAAGCTATGAATGTCTCTGAAAAATCATAATTTTCAGACAAACTTAAGAATATTTTATTCTGATTTTACTTGCATTTGGTACAAAAATGAATATACTTTAAATGATTCAATGATATCTGAGAAAATAAAGAAGACAGATGGGTTTAATTTTTCCTTTTTCATGTAAAGTTAATATGCCATGCTGTATGAAAAATAAATAAACAATATGTGACTGCAACTTAATCTTACAGTAACTCACAACTGATGGAAGAGACACAACATAGAACCACCACGAAATCAATCACGTTCATCTCAAGTTACTAGCTTAATTTAAAGGTTATCAACTTCGTCTTACACACACACACACACACATTAATTCAATATAGTTTATTATCATCTAGATGTCTTATCTCAAGACTTATACATTGTCTGTGACTTTCGAATACATAAGAGTAAGATATTGAGGTATGTTATTCTCTACTCAAGAAACGATACTTTGAAACACCAAAGAATAGTGTATAAACCTGCTTTACATTTTCTACAGAATGAAACGAGAACACTTACGAACTCATGTCCAAAAAAAATCATATTAGGATACAGGCAAATCTATTTACAACACAAACTAACCACACACACTTTAATAAAAGATGCGATGATAAATCTCATTCGGTGATCAATCCCATTCGGTGATCAATCTCATTTGGTGATCTTTTTTTAAATCTAGAATCGATCTGTTGACTCCAGTTCTTTCAAGTTACTTCAACAGTTTGTTATGATGTTTTGCTGGTACAAATTTTTCCTAGGTAAGGAGGATGGTTGAGCGCTCACAAACATGTTTAACCCAAACCACTTTAATGTGCCTGTCCCAATCCAGGAGCCCGTAGTCGAGTGATTTAAGTTGGTTGCCGTCTGTCACAACTGTTTTTTGTAATGATTTTAAATCAGGTCGAAAGTTTCTCTGTTGAATTTTTCATATAATTGATTTCCGGAGCATTTCATAGCTTACAATACGGTATAATTTTCTTATCATAGTCCTTACATCTTTGTCCTTTGACTTTTTGGTAGATAGCCGCTGACAACCATATCACGTTTTTACTCATTGAGATGACCAGAGAAGGATTTGATTATTAAGTTTAGAAATTTTCAATATCAATCCACCAAACTCAACAAATATGTTGTCTATCAAAAAGTCCAACATTTTAATGATATCATCATCTTCTGCGTAATTATGTTTTGGAATCAGTGCAGTTCTACACAAAAGTCAGATTTCTTATGACCTTAATCTACGATTTTCATTTGTGTCAAAAAAAAGCTTTGTTTTAATAGACGATGTATTCGATCTTTCAAATGATAAAATTGAGAATGGAAGTGGGGAATATGTCAAAGAAACAACAACCCGACCAAAGAGCAGACAACAGCCGAAGGCCACCAATGGGTCTTCAATGCAGCGAGAAAATCCCGCACCCGGAGGTGGTCCTCAGCTGGCCCCTAAATGAAATTGTGTGCTATTTCAGTGAAAAGGGCCGTCACACTAAACTCCAAAACATATAAATGAACTTAAATTAAAACACATACAAGACTAACAAAGGCCAGAGGCTCCTGACTTGAGACAGGCGCAAAAATGCGACGGGGTTAAACATGTTTTGTGAGATCTCAACCCTCCCCCTATACCTCTAGTCAATGTAGAAAAAAGAAACACATAGCAATACGCACAGTAAAACTCAGTTTAAAAGAAGTCCGAGTCCGATGTTAGAATAGGTAACAAAAGAAACTAAGCAACATGACAATGATACATAAATGAACAAAGGACTACTAGAAGTTACTGACATACCAGCTCCGAACCTCAATTAAACTGATTGAAAGATTATGTCTTCATCATATGAAAATCAAGTATAATCCCTCCCGTTAGGGGTTTAGTATCATACCATCTTAAAATATACGAGAAGAATATAACCCGTATCATGCCAACAACTGGTTTTAGTATAAATGTGTTTATTTCCGATGCAAAGACCCTATGAATGAAACAATATTAATACCAAAATATGCAATCCTTAATGACTTGACAACAATATCGTAACTATATCCTTTCCGAAATAGTCTTTTTAAAGGTTTGGTTAGCTTTTGAGGTGAATGCCGACTTTTTGTGCTTTGTAAAGAATATTACCATAAAATATTGGATGTGAAATACCTGAACTTATAAGATGTCTGCATGTTGATTTATATTTACGAATGATGTCCTTGTACCGATGATAAAATTTAGTAAATGTTTTGACTAGTTTGTGATATCGAAAACCCTGGTGTAATAATTTTTCAGTAATGCAGAGATTTCTTTCGTTGAAATCAAATACGTTGTTACATACACGAGCGAATCGAACAAGTTGAGATATATAAACACCATAAGATGGCGACAAGGGAACGTCACCATCTAAAACTGGATAATTAACAATAGGAAATGAAAAATCATCTTTTTTATCATAAATTTTGGTATGAAGTTTCCCATTAAAGATAAAGAGATCCAGGAAAGGGCAGTGTTCATTGTTAGTATTAGCTTTATTTAGAATTAGTTCGGCAGGATAAATCTCTTTAGTGTACATACTGAAGTCGTCATCATTGAGAGCCAATATATCATCTCAATTTTTAAAAGTGTTATTAAATTTTTGAATCAGATGTTGTTTCGATGTGTCTTTGCTGATTTTAGTCATAAATTGTAACTCATAACAATACAGAAACAGGTCCGCAATAAGTGATGCACAGTTAATCCTCATGGGAATTCCGATAACCTGACGATATACGGAATCTCCATAGAGAACAAAAATGTTATCTAGTAAAAATTCATGAGCAGTTATAGTATCAAAGCATGGTAATAGAAGCATTAAGTGTAGTGAAATCAAGTTTTGCTATTACTGCAAAACTGTAAAAACTATAATTGAAGATTTTGCAGATCTTAAGAATTTTAAAGAATTTTCATTTGATTGACACCACTGGTTGAATATACCTCATCACAATACTTCTTAAGGTCAATTTTTATTGTCGAAAGAATGGTAGTAAGAAATTTAAAAAGATTTCGTTGAACATCTTGAAGACCTAGCTACATACTGTTCTTCATACGGGAGATATCTATATTACTTTTATAATGTTGATATCATAAAGGAAAAGGAAGGATTTGTATTTTCTAAAATTTCCTCTTTCGTCAAAGATGTAGGAACATATGTGGGATTCCTAGCTTTGCCGTGAATTACAAGTTCAATATTGTTATAGGCTCTGTCTGATATAACATTAATTTAATTCTTGTAAAAAGAGAAAAAAAACATCCAGTTTAGTCTTCCTTGTATTTATATTTTACTTAATTCGTACTCTATCAAGAAATTGTTTACTATATACGGAATGAACTATCAACTACAAAATTAAATTTAATCGGCGTCTTTATCAATTTACTATCAACGACAAAAACTTTTTTGTTTGCGTCTTTGTTAGATTTGTTTGTATGTTTGTTTGATTTTTAGTCAGTTGTGTTGTATGTCTGTGGTGTATATGTTCACCCAGTTTTGGTTGCTGTATCCCCATTGTTGTCAAATTAACCTGGTTTCTCACCCAATTATGTCAATAGAATGGAACTATAAACCACTTTCATACAAGTGGGAGGTTTAGCTAGCTATAAAACCAGGTTTGACCCACCGTTTTCTTCTGAAATCGCCTGTTACATGTCAGAAATATAACAGTTGTTTCTCAATCGTTCTGTTGGTTGATAACATTTGATTTTGTCATTTTTTATGGCGTTCCCCGTTTTGAATTACCTTGGGGTTCGGTATATTTGCTATACATTTTTTTCTTAAAAGGGTTAAACACCAGTATGCTCATTGTACGTAGTAGATGTTGATTTAGCATCTGAATGCATGACCGGAATGCGTTGATCCTTTTAGATACAGTGTTCAGTTTTGGTTCATAAGTCACGCACCTTGTCCATTTTCATTTAAACGCTTAAATGAATCAGGACTCAAAGAGAATGTACAAGATTTACCCTTCCTGTAGTAGTTCTAACCTTAGTTTAAGTTAACTAACAAACTTATATAATATGAGGCAGGAAGAGGGCAAAGTCCGTACTATTTTCATGATGCATTTTGCTTATCATATATACTAATTTGCGAGAAATCGTATGTTCTATTACGGTCTACCCGATTTCATGACACACGCGTTTCTGGAAAAACCCTAATCAGGTATGCTCGAAAACAAAGGTTGAGGAAACTAAATACATTGCATATTGAAAAGCATTAATACCAAAAGGGCTCTAACAGAGCAACTATTTGAATTGAATTGATTGATTGATTGATTGATTGGTGTTTAACACCACTTTCAGCACTATTGGCTATGTTGTGGTGGTCAGTTTTATTAGTAGCCGAAGTGCCAGGAGAGAACTACCAACTTTCGGTAAGAAAACTCCTAGTCAATTAAGATTGGAGTCTAACGCACCTGCCACGTACGGGATTCGAACTCACAACCTCAGTGTTGACAGGCTTGATTTTTTTTTCAATTTGAATTGAAAGATAACTAATTGTTTGATTGAAAAATTGATGATGACTTTTTGTTATTTCATAAAACTTTAGACTTAAAATTCTGTAGTCTATACGCTTGTCTTCGTGAATAGATCACAATATATATAAGGGCAACGATCCCTGAAGTGGCAAACAATATGACAAATAATAAATTGTGATTATCCTTATTTATTCTTTATCACTTTATCCATGTAAAAGCATCATCCAGCAACCCTAAATAGAAAGAAAAAAATACATTATGAAATATACAAAATACCTTTCTCCATCAATTGTTCATTTTTTCTCTAAACAATAGTGTTTGTGGATTTGTTTTTTAGCATACTGCATATCTTAATGCAAATTAATCGTATTTATAATTTATATAATCTAATAAGATATACCTTATATAAAATATTGTTTGACTGGTATCATTGATGAGTTTTTTATAACCACATAGTCAATGACGATGCTGGTTTAAAGTTCATTGCCCCGAGGGTATTACCTACCCAGAAGTCAGCACTCCTTTTTCATTGATTAATTGATACGATCAATTTCTGTAAATTTACTGTTCATTAAATTTATAAAATTATTCGAGACACTGAAGTTTTTCTACCATTGGAATAGATGGCCTAAACCAGATTTGGCACAACTCTTTTTGATATTTTCGGTTTGTTATTGATTAGGTTTAACAACTGTTTTTATTAGAGCACCACTGATAAGTCTTATTTATAAAAATCCAAAACATAATACAAACACTAAAGAACAGACGAATACAAAGGTACCAAGAGTAAAGCGAAACCTGGACCAGCAGGCCGAGCTATGCATGAGGGAGATACATTCCATAACTTAAAATGGTTTTGAAATTTTGAAACAGCTTTACAACAGTATTAGTATTTTCATGCCAGTACTGGCTACTGGATTAATAATACCGTCGAGGACTAAAAGTCCAACAGCAGAGGTATCGACCCTGTGGTAGTAATAACATTTATGGTATCAATATTCCTGCACCAGATGTGCATTTCAACAATTAATGTATCTTCAGTTATGCTCAAGGCCGACATATTTGAAAATCAAAAAAAGTAATACAAGCATTGAAAAGCTGATCAAACAAAAAAGTACCAAACTTAAAGAAAAACACGTAAATTGTATATTTACAAACTTGTCAAACCCTCCACGTGCTAAATGTAGTTTCTTTTGAAATCAAAGTTACATTTCATATTTTGTAGTGCTGACAAACATTTTACATTTCATCACCATCACAATTTGTACTTGTCGTGTTGGATTGCAAAGACACAAAAGTTGTTGATAAAAGACATATCATTGCTTCTGATAATGATTTTTTTTATTTGGAAATCAGAAAAAATTGTTTGACTTTTCTTTTTAAATTTGACAAATTCTTCAATATAGATTACAAACAATTGCTAAAATAACAGGAATACAACGTTCGTCTAAGAAATTTTCAAATAGTTTTAAAACGTTTAACTTGGTATACAGAAAAAAAGAATTCAAACGAAAACAAAGAAACAAAGCAACGTTAACAAAAATTACGAATTTCGGCCGATTTTGGTTTAACAGTCCCCGGGGATACCTGTCTTCATTAGCTAATGCGTTGGTCCTGCATGGCCTAATGATCATACGTTGTGACGTTTATACATTAAATTAATGTATTAAAACTGAGTTCATCACTGAATTATCTGTTTACAAAACTTTAAATTGTTCGAAATACTAAGGATTTTCTACCCCAGGAATAGATTACCTTATATTTATTTTTGCAAAACTTATCGGAATGTTGATACTCAAATCTCTTCAACTTCGTACTTTATTTGGCCTTAAAAAAATTCTTAATTGTACCCAATGAATATCTTTCTCCAATCTTTTTTTTTTCTTTCATATCATATAAAAATAAGAAGATGTGGTTTGATTGCCAATGAGACAACTCTCCGCAAGAGACCAAATGACACAGAAATTAACAACTATAGGTCACCGTACGGCCTTCAACAATGAGCAAAATCCATACTGCATAGTCAGCTATAAGAGGCACCGAAATGACAAATGTTAAACAATTCAAACAATAAAACTAAGGGCCTAATTTATGTACAAAATAATGAACGAAATACAAATATAATACACAGCAACAAACGACAACCACTGAATTACAGGCTCCTGACTTGGGATATGCACATAAAGAATGTGGCGGGGTTAAACTAGTTAGATGGCACCAAACCCTCTCCCTAACCTGGGACAGTGGTGCAACAGTACAACACAAGAACACTCTATACAAACAATAATCGAAAAACTAATATGATAAACAGCAAAAAACAACAACCACCACTCAATTACGGGCTCCTGACTTGGGACAGGCACATATAGAAAGTGACGGGGTTAAACTAGTTTGAAGGCACCAATCCTCCCCCTAACCTGGGACAGTGGTTTAACAGTACAACATAAGAACAATCTATAAAAAATCAGTTGAAAAAGGCTTAACTCATCAGATGGAAACAAATAGAAATACATCTAACAAAAACACAGAGTGGACGTAGCAGGGTACTTATACATCCCACAACAACAAACAAAACACTAAGTACAGATCTGAGAGTACTCGCAGTTACTGACAGCTAGTTCAAAGCCAATAACAACTAATAAAAAAAAAATTCAATTATGCATCAAAGACTAAAATATCAATCAGTACACATCCAACATCCAATGGATTTAGTGTAAAGACGTCACTAACAGTCAGAGAAAAACACGACCTTGTGCAATGCCAAGATACAGGTATCGACAGATTGTAGAGCCATGAATGTGCATATGTATATAAAAATAATATTTAGTTTGATTTTAATTTACTGATAGCAAAATCAATATAAAACAATGTTCAAGATCTAATTACAGTGTTGAATTGATAACCTTTTAGAATAATTTTCTTTAAAGGATCGATATTTATTTTTATCTGGTTCATTTTTTGTTTTAACTTATGTTTCGTATAGTGTTTGCATTATTGTATTCCCCCAATAATCTTACTTATTATCTGCTTCACAAATGAACTGGTATCTTACAAGACAGTTCTCATCTGCCCAATACCCATAGAAGCCAGCCCACAAAGCGACACAATTGGCAGCCGTCCCAGCATTTGGTTCCCCTGGTTGAAAATTGTTGACTTTTATCGGAATCTGTCTGGTTGAGTATATCCATTTTCCCTCTTGAATTATATCTGATATGCCTATCCAGAAGGTACCGCCTTCGAAGTAAATCAATTCAATAAAATGCGTATTACTTTTATGTGTCTAAGGTAGAGGCAAGATAACATGGTATATGTTTTTCTTTTTTTTCCTAAAGTAAAAATTTTGCGATGCGCATGCTTTTAATTTTTTTATCTGTAAAACTGTCAACTATTATTCTATGTTTTATATCTTTGTTGTAACGGTTTTTCAGGGTTATTTTGAATGTCTTCTCCTTCACATCTGTTGACATCTACATCGTTGAAACAATAAGAAAATCCACATTTATCAGCGTTTCATGAATTTCAATTTCAGTTATGCAGACTTGCAGAATGTAATGTTTGATTTCCGTCCACCCATTCCCACTATTTTCAATATATCTGTGATATATGTAATAATTTTAAATTGTGTATTCATTTTACGTGCATTTGAATTTGAACATACTTAAATAATCTTCTAAGTTAATTGTAAATATAATGTTGATTCACCTTGTTGTATACAAGCCCACGGCTATAAGTTTGTTCTGTTAGCAATTTTCAGCTGACAAAAATGTCTCTTTAAGAATATTTTAGCAGTTAAGTAAGATCCATGAAAGCTGGAGTGATGTGGCAATTTTTTAATTATTAGGCTTTAATAGAGAAGAGGGGATTTGTTCATGGCCATGCAGAAGTTGTTAGGATAAAGTAAAGTAAAACATATTTGTTCCCTTGTTATATGGTCATCAAATCATTTCATTGTGTAATGTTGTTTTTTGTTGTTTTTTGTGTTTTTTTTTGTGTGTTGTTATCGTCTCTTTTCATGCTCCTTATTCTATTAAAACATACCTATGATCTGACTGTGACTTATCAAGAAATGAGATGTGTTGGTATTCATTGGCTCAGCAAGTTTAGAATGAAATCCACCACAAACTGTCTTTAAAAAAACATATCAAACTGACTGGGTGGACAACTCGAGTGTTACAGATAGACCAATAATTATAAAAGATTTATGCAAGAGAACTTCCTGTATAAAAACACATTCTAAAGTCTTATTCTATAGGACAAATTGCCTTGATTCGGTAGTTACAAGCATGTACTATTCGTTATTTCAAAGTTAGTCTATGAACATGAGATTTAAAATCACGATGAACAATAATTGAATAAAAAGAGATAAACATTTGAAATTCTGTAAGCAGCAAACAATCCTGCAATCCACTAACCGATGCTTCAATCCACGATTCCACCTGCCGACTGAACAAATAGCACCTGTTTTCAAATTGTGTCCATCCATTCATGCAACCTATAGAATAGAAAAAAAAACAATAGACAGATTTTATGATACTTAAAGTCATATTGTTATGGAGTAAAGCATGTTCACCAACATTTAAGTACAAATGAAACGTGCAACTGTTATTTTTTATCCTGCATAACCTGCATCGCTTGTCTCGTGTTCGCCTCGATTGTTGAAGATCGTGGCCGTCGGTTATTATACTATTTTCTATTACTCAGTATTAAATATACAAATACATATTGATAAATCCTATAATATTAAACGTTATGAAAATATTATGAGATTTCTCTACGTAGCACGTCGCACATGGATACATTGTTTCTAAAGACTTATTTTACAATGATTGATAACTAGATTATGATAAAAAGACTAAAGATACAAAGGGGCACTCTAAACTCATAAGTCGAATGAAAACTAACAATGCCCAACAATCGAAAGACGACGAAAAGACAAAGAAGTCCAAAACACTACATAGAAAACTTAAAGACTAAGTATCACGAGCCCCAATAAAAAACCTAGAGTGATCCCAGCTGCTCTGGAATGGTAAACGGATCCTGTTTTACTAGTGGCACCCGTCATGTTGCTCATGGTATGTATGAAATCGGTGATTATTCTCATTTGGTGATGTCACAATCGTTGAACAGATGACGGGATAATTGTTACGACAAATCGAACATAGCCGTGGTATTGTTATTTGTGACGCTGATGTTCCTTAACGGTCAACCAAAAAGCATGTAAAGTAAAACAATAAAATATGTCACCGCTTTAAAAAAGATTTTGTGTACTAACCTTCATCAGGTTTGCACTCAAACAACATAAATATTAAGATCCCTAACTAAAACAGCTCAAAATACATAAACAGAAGAGATATTTTAGATGAAGCTGGGACTATTACCATTTGATTTTTCATATACCACACAAGACTTTTGTAACATGCTTAAATTAAAATTATATGATATATAGATGTATGAGTTTACTAAACAGAAATTGAGCGAACTCCGTTTAATCGGTGTCAAATGATATTGAATTTCATTCCACCTTTTTCAAACCAAGCTTCAAGATGCCATTTTTGTAAAGCTTCGAATGGATTAGTCTATTAAAATTCATAATTTTCATATAAATTTAAGAATGTTTTATATCGATTTTACGTGCATTTGATACAAATATGAATATACGTGACATTTAAATAATTCAATTATATTTTAGAAAATAACATGCATTTAATTTTCCTTATTCATATTTAGTTAATATGCCTTGTTGGAATTGCTTTTAAAAATCTGTGACTGCAACTTAATTGTACGGTAACTCACAACTGATAGAAGACACACAACATAGAAACACCACAAAAACAATCACGTTCATCTCAAGTTGTTTGTAAAGTAATAAGATACTAGCTTAGTTTAAAGGTTGTCTTCTACGTCACAAATTTATTGATTCAACATGCATAGTTCATTATTATCTAGATGTCTTATCTTCATGCTTATACATTCTCTGTGACTTTTGAAATCATAAGAATTAGAAATAAGGATATTTTATTCTCTACTTAAGAAACGATACTACGTGTTCTTTGAAACACCAAAATTTTGTGTATAGAGCTGCAAATCTTATTTTTATTAAACAAATTATTCTGTGGTATACCATGCAGTCAATTGAAATTTGTTTGTGTTGTGTCTCCTTACGAAGGAATAGGCTGATAAGACTATTTAGTATTCAATATTTTCCTATTGATAGAAGTTAATGTCATGTCATTCATACAATCTGCAATGTGTTTACTTAAAACTTTGTCAATCATGTAATAATTAGTGTATTAACAACAAATTGTTCATTGTATGTTGAATTTAGATCCATATACTGCTAGCTCAAATTCTTCTGACATGCCCATAAAACCTGACAACTTCAAACTCTCGACTATTACAACCAATGGAAAGAATGCACAAAAACTGTTATATATATATCTCTGACTAGGTACAGGTATATCCCTCTTTTCCAAAGAAAATGTTGAGTTATACCTGGTTATCGGTTTTTATACAAAAAAAGATCGGCCACTTGATATAATCAATATATTGCTCCACAATGATTTCTGTAATAAAATAGTTCATGTACGTTAACCTTAACTTTATGCAGGAGTTAGGAGAAAATTTGAAAGAAGTCTGTCGCAATTATTTGAAGGTCAACACACAAGTCTACAGTATACAAGTGCTAATACAATAGGTCTCACAGTATATTTCCCTCTCAACATGACGTTGACAGTTTCTTGTAATGCCTTAATATAAAAGTATGAAGATGTGGTATGATTGCCAATGAGACATCTCTCCACCAGAGACCAATCAACATAGAAGTTTACAACTATAGGTCACCGTACGGCCTACAACAATCAGCAAAACCATACGCATAGTCTGCTATTAAAGGCCCCGAAATGACAAATGTAAAACAATTCAAACGAGAAAACTAACGGCCTGATTTATGTACAAAACAATGAACGAAGAACAAATATGATATACAGCAACAAACTACAACCACTGAATTACAGGCTCCTGACTTAGGACAGGTAGATACAAACTGTGGCGGGGTTAAACTAGTTTGTTGGCCCCAGCTCTCACTGCCTTTTTCTACAATGCAGAAAGTTTCATAGCTTACGATTGCGACACCGAAACCTGCGTTATTCCATTTCGTTACACCTGAGGAAATCATGCAGTCGATATGAAGGTTGTTTACCTAAATACGCCCTAGTGTAAGCACAAACATCAGAATTAAACAAGAGGAATCCCCCGGATTTCAAACAAAGAAAGACAACTTGTGTGGTTAGAATAGGAATCTCGTCCCATAAGATATAGAATTCATGATTGAAATGTTCTTCATATTCTGTAGGATAGATGCAAATCCTTATTTCACATTGATAATATAGACGAGTTTAAAATAGGCCATACATTTTAATAAGAGATTACTGTAGATTACCGATGTTCAAATGTCATAAATCCATTAAAAAATCGATATATAATAGCAAAACCTGCGGGAATCAAATGAACTCTAAAAGCGAGACCGGGTGTGTCGACAGGGCAAGCGTCTCCTGCTTTGCAATCAGCACCCGCTGTGCGATTTCACTAAGTCAAATGAGGACACAATCGGTAAATTTATAGATTAGACGACTATTCATATTTTTGTACAGAAAGCACTGTATAATGAGAAGATGTAGTCGATCATTCAGTTAAGCGCGGGGAAAAGAAGTGCAGAGCGCATTGAAATAAAAAAAATGGGGGTGTTCATGCAAAGTTGCAGTGGTTGTGATTGAAGATCGCTGAATAGATCTTCAGAATTGTTTTACAATTTTCATCTGATTGGTGACCTCATCACACTATATTTGAATGTCAACTTTTACTGTAGAAGTAATGGTAGTATGAACTGTAGTAAGGTATTTTGGGAAACATCCAGATAATGCGTCTACATATCGTTATTTGTAAAGATTCTTTAATGTGTATGTATTAAGAAAAAAGTTTCTAAAGAATAGAACACATAATTTTGTTTTTAAAATTCCCTCTACCGTTAAGCATTCCAAAATAAAGATTTTTTCATAATACTGCTTGAGGTTATGTCTGCTGAAACAACATTTTTGTCATTAAAAAGGATAAAGCATACATCAGTTTTTCATGGGTTAGAAACCAATGTGATCATGATGCATCATATTTTTTTCATTCGCTTCTGAATTCATGCTCGAACAGCATTGATCATTTGATAAAATGTCCAGTTTTGGTTCATCTGGATCTCCCGTGACCCATTTTTCGTGATAATCACTAGCTGTTTCAATTAGTATCCTGAATTTCGTATTCCACTGTATTGGTTTGGAAATTTGATGTTTCGGGCATTTGGCTAATAACTCATTAAGTTGATTATTGTTTACGATGGCCGCCCCTTTTTAAAACGGCATAGTAATTGTTCTAAGAGGGCACTCTTAGCACGCCACTTTAAGGTCATCGTATACATGGTGGACAACCCTTTTAGGGCATCCTAAACGTAGATATAAAGACACTGTTATGGATAGAGGTTTAATATGTTGTGATGTTACACTATTGTTTCAGGTAGGGTGAATGTTGGCGCCTATTAAAACGTTTAAACCCGCTGCATTTGTTTGTACCTGTCCTAAGTCAGGAACCTGATGTTCAGTGGTTGTCGTGTGTTGATGTGGTTCATAAATGTTTCTCGTTTTTCGTTTTTTATATAGATTAGGCCGTTGGTTTTCCTGTTTAAATGGTTTTACACTAGTCATTTTTTGGGGCCCTTTATAGCATGCTGTTTGGTGTGAACCAAGGCTCCGTGTTGAAGGCCGTACTTTGACGTATAACGGTTTACTTTTACAAATTGTGACTTGGATGGAGAGTTGTCTCATTGGCACTTATACCACATCTTCTCATATCTAATTAATAGAAATAAACAATTGTTTAATATTTAATGGTAAGAAATAAAGATATGTATACGTATATTGAGACAATATTTCAATTTCTTTTTGCAATAGGATTTTCATTTTTAGACTCAGCTAATAGAATTTGACAATACAACTGCCTTATTTTAAACAATAAGTTCAGTTATAAATTTTAAAACTGGGTCCCTGATTGTCTAAGAATGTGTTGTGAAAGTGTTGAAAGTGTTAAGACTTGCATGCCCAAGAGCATATGCATTGATTTTTTAGCTGCACAAAAGAATTAGTTTGGATCTGACATGTTTATACTAATAAACTCTTACATTATCTTGACTCATAAATGTACAAAACTTTAGGCCATTAATCTTCTTTTTTTTCCTTCTAATTTTGTGGGTTTTTTTTTGTTTTTTTTTTAACGGTGTTGATTTTTGGAACTAATCAGAACTATATCATATATTCTCTTAACTTTAATTTATAACAGTAAGAAAGCTGTCGTAAATTCAAACCAAATCCGACGTCTCGAACGATCAAATAGTTAAAGAAATCAGAATCAGAAAATATACAAACAGCTGATTGTTTAGTACGTAATGTTCATCCATTGAATCGTAAAATTATAACCCAAACAATTGCCTGATTCCCTTTTTAATTGCCTAAAATAAAAGCCGCAAAGTCGATGTTGTCCTTATCAGATTCAATCATGAAACCATAATTGTACTCGGTCGCTTCAAGAAGTTCAATAAAATGTTAGCCATTATAACTTTAATTTCGTCCAAAGGAAAATGACTCAAAATTGTCTTATTAAAAGATGAATCGCAGAACCAATCTTAAATAACGACAGGGCGTTATAAAATACGATGGAAAAGGGACATGGCGACAATTTGTTTTAAAAGGAAGGGCGTCAAGAAAAAGGGAGGGCGCCATACCACGCCAAGACCTCCTGTAGGGAACATGCATATGTCCCTAGTTCATTTTTGATAAGCAGAACCATATTTATATGCGAACCATTGACGCCAGCAGTCTGGAGGTTTGGATCCATATGGACAAAGGTCTCTAATGTCCTCTTGTGATTATCATTTTGGATGCTATGGTGTGTTGAAGGTAAAAGAAATGATAGGTGTAGAAGAGAGGCGAAGGATACATAAGGGTCATTCAAACTCATAAGTCGAAAATAAACTGACAAAGCAATGCTAAAAAAGACAAAGACAAACAAGCAACAGTACACAAAATACAACATAGATAACATGAGACTGAGCAACACGAACCCCATAAAAAATTCGGGGTGATCTCAGGTGCTCTGGAGGGGTAAGCAGATCCTGCTCCACATGTGGCACCTGTCGTGTTGCTCATGTTAGTACAAACCCGGTGATAGGTCTAATTCGGTAGGTCACAATCAGGAATAAAGGGGAACGGGATTGTAGTTACGACAATTGGAACATATCCGTTGTCATCTGTGAAACGGATATTCCGTAGATTTATCTTTTAAGTAATCGGGTATTACTTTCTGTACAGATTTGTGGTGGACAATATTGCTACTATTCATAGCATCCAAAATCTTATCAGCAAATTTTACTTTCAAAAACTTTTAACATCATCTTTGAAAGAAGTTACACGGTGTTGATGGTCTGTAATTAGCAATGTCCATAAGTACTTCCAGCAGTCTGTAAGATTTGTAACGATAATGGAAGTATTTTTTGGACATTTTGAAGTGGTGAATTGATCACGAATAATGGAACGATACGAAATGGAAAGATAGAAAACCAAAATATATGTTCGTAAATTCGAACACCACTATTCTTGATGCCATCTTTTATTGTAGAAAACATTGTAGTACAAACATAAGAATGATGTTTTGTGAAACATAAAGATGACCAGACTATATATCGTTGTTTGTATAGGTTCTTGTTAAGTTTATGTACCCAGCAAAAGAAAAGCGAAATATACTAAAAGGTAAAATAACAAAAATACAGAACTCCAAGGAAAGTCCTTTATAAAATGGCAAAATCAAAAGCTCAAACACATTTAACGAATGGTAAACAACTGTCATATTCCAGACTTGGTACAGGCATTTCTTTATATAGAAAATGGTTGATTAAACCTGGTTTTATAGCTAGCTTAACCTCTCACTTGTACCAAAGGTACATTCAAACGTAAAGTCGAAAATAAACTTACAACACCATGGCAAAACTGAAAAAGACCAAAAGTCAAACAACAGTACACAAAGCAAAACATAGAAAAGTAAAGACTGAGCATCACAAATCCCATCAAAAACATGAGGTGATATCAGTGCTCCAGACAGGTAAGCAGATCCTGATCATTATGTGGCACCCGTCATATTAACGTTGCCCATGCAAGTTCAAACCCGATGATAAGCCTAGATCGGTAGGTTACATTCGGGGACAAGAGGACAGGGTTGTAGTTACTACAATTGGAACATATCCGTCGTCATCTGTGAAACAGATATTCCATAACGGTCAACCAACTCGTGATTGCGTCGGTAAAATTTACAAAGGGAATCAACCCGAGATTTTCAGGAAATGGATAGATAAAAAACCAAAATATAGTGCGAAAGTGCGGACATAGTTTTATTGATATATCTGCATCATCATATATTACATCAAATTGTCAACCAACAATTTGTGACCCTGTAGATCTACAAAGAAAAAAAAGCTACATTTGAGAATGCCCATTAAGGTCAATAATTAGTAATACTACCGTGCATTCCGGTGTGGACGGATAGATGTTATTCCTATCTGATATCAAACATTTATCAGCTAAAATGTTAACCTTTTTGAATTTTTACATTTCATGAATAGTGTATGTATCAGTCTTGAAGTAAAAAAGGATTTTGTACAATTATGAAACGCTTCGTATCCCGAATATTGTGTCAGACTTCATCGTCATAAGATGATTATATTTGAAATGCGCTGTCTATAAAATTCAGGCGAACTTAATATGCACATGCTGTAGGTAAATTGAAATTGTAGGAAAAGTTGCTATCACAAACTGTGTAAGGGTTGGCAATATTTGATATTGAACTTTTCCTGTCATGATTTTAAATATTTAGGCCAGTGCCAACATAAAATACGGTGTGAATAAAGTTTGCTGTGTGTAATTAAAAAAAAAACACACTTCCAAGATTTGATTGAGTTTGCTTTTTTACTTTTATTGGGGAGGGGGTTCTTATTCTTAAATAACCTTACTCATTATCTGTCTCACAAATGAATTGCCGTCTTGCAAGACAGTCCTCATCTGCCCAGTATCCATGGTGACCAGCCCATAATGCCACACAATTTGCAGAAGTATGTGCATTAGGTTCTCCCGGTTGAAAATCATTAACTTTTATCGGTATTTGTCCGGTTGAGTATACCCATCTATCTTCATCAATTATATCTGATATGCCAATCCAAAAGTTTCCTCCTGCAAAGTTTGAAAAACTATTTTGATATTTTCAAGAAGGGGTTTTATCTAATCTTAGGCCTGGATCTAGTAAAGATATATATATATATATATAAGAACACGTTCTTTGAAATATCTGACATTTTCTGTAGTATGGAACCTACTTCTTCAAACCTTGATTGCTTATTTTACTAAATGTTATCATCGGTACAAGGACATCATTCGTAAATATAAATCAACATGCAGACATCTTATACGTTCAGGTATTTCACATCCAATATTTTATGGTAATATTCTTTACAAAGCACAAAAATGTCGGCATTCACCTCAAAAGCTAACCAAACCTTTAAACAGACTTATTCGGAAAGGATATAGTTACGATACTGTTGTCAAGTCATTAAAGATTGCATATTTTGGTATTAATATTGATTCACTCATAGGGTCTTTGAGTCGGAAATAAACACATTTATTCTAAAACCAGTTGTTGGCATGATACGGGTTATGTTCTTTTCATATATTTTATGATGGTATGATACTAAACCCCGAACGGGAGGGATTGTACTAGATTTTCATATGATGAAGACATAATCTTTCAATCAGTTTAATTAAGGTCTGGAGCTGGCATGTCAATAACTGCTAGTAGTCCTTTGTTCGTTTATATAGCATTGTCATTTTGCTTAGTTTCTTTTGTTACCTATTCTAACATCGGACTCGGACTTCTTTTAAACTGAGTTTTACTGCGCGTATTGCTATGTGTTTGTTTATTCTATATTGGCAAGAGGTATAGGGGGAGGGTTGAGATCTCACAAAACATGTTTTACCCCGTCGCATTTTTGCGCCTGTCCCAAGTCAGGAGCCTCTGGCCTTTGTTAGTCTTGTATGATTTTTTAATTTTAGTTCATTTATATGTTTTGGAGTTTAGTGTGACGTCCATTTTCACTGAACTAGTACACAATTTTATTTAGGGGACAGCTGAGGAACACCTCCGGGTGCGGGATTTTCTCGCTGCGTTGAAGACCCATTGCTGGCCTTCGGCTGTTGTCTGCTCTTTGGTCGGTATGTTGTCTCTTTGACATATTCCCCATTTCCATTCTCGATTTTACATTGCATTATAAGTGTATACATAAAGACTCAAGACTTGTTAGAATATAAATGACATAAAATGTGTGTAAATATAGGAAATAAATTGAAATAGCCATAACACCTAAAAATTATTTGCGGACAACTTTGTCTGATGGTGTTGCACAATGCTATTGAGAATCAAATCTTCGGTACCAATGCTTAATGCGTCCTTCATATCATGCAAATATCGGAGCACTGGTTATTGGATGGAGGATATCCTCGGAAGATGATAGTCTTTAAAGGTATCAATTTATACATCTGTCTGCATATCATTAATTTTAAGGTGAAAGAAATAAAGTAATATGTTAATTAGAATAGAACTTTATACATTTGAAGCACCTTTTTTATTTACCTTCATTGGGATTGCTGAAAAAATGTATGCCAAGAGGATGCAAAATTACTTGAAAAGCTACATAACCATATAAGAATAACACTTTATAAGCGAAGCGCCCTTTTAATTTACCTTCATCAGAAAACGCCAAAAACATAATATTGATTTCCAAATTTTATTGCTAATTGTGTTGTGTGCACTTCTTATATGGAATTTATGAACAAGTCAATTTTTGAGTAATATACTTAAAATATTTCAGCAGCTGAATCAATATGCATGAGTATATTTGAATCTCTTTTTTTTCAAAATAAAACAACGCTTCATAAAAACAAACCGATTACCATGATGAATTTATTTTTTTTCATCATATAATAGTAGCTGTTTACAAGTTGAACAATTAAATAACTTAGTGTTTTCAATCATCCTTTTTTTATTGGAATTCAAATTTTTAAATACATAAAGAAATATTACTTATTATATCTTCAATTATTGGTTTAAATTTTGCATCACAAAATAAAGATTGGTATCATTAACATGTATTTTCAACATCTTTTTTTATCAGAAATTGATATAAAAGTGCATTCTACAGAGACATTTATAGAAAATAAATAAGAGTATTTAGACAATGTAAGGCTTCATAGTTTAACATATAATATATATATGCTTCTTGTGTATACTTTTATAATCTTATTTCCAAGCCCCTTTCATACACATATCATGCAGGCGTGCACGAAAGATTGGATACATTATTTGTTGAATGTAGTCTTAAAAAAATACATACCAACATGCTGACTGTGACTTATTAAATAATGAGATTCCGCTGAGGTCATCGGCTCAGCTAATTTTGAATCAAACACACGACAAACGGACTGAAAAAAATCGTTATAAAATTTTAAGAATGCACATATTACTTGCAGCGTATTCCGGTTCTCCAACAGAAGGAAATTCTTTTTGGAATTGAAGCACCGATAAGGAGCAAGCTTGTGTACCCAATGCCTCTCCGAAACATGTGAAGAGATTAGAATCACGTACTGGCATATTTTCTGTTTACTTTTCTGTTTGATTCTTTTCTGTTATGATTTTAAACAGTAGTATTGACTTGCAATAAAGTGAAAAACGTTTATTCCGGTGATAGAAACTATGATACAAATCAATTTGTAGGAACTGTGATCTGTTTAGATGTATAGAGTTAAACAACGAGAGGGATCCCTTCTCCTTTATATTTTATCATATGTTGGTTCTACGCCTCTGCGAGATCCTGGAATATCATTAGAAATTAACATGCATCATGTTTTCATGGAGAGGGTATCCGTTTCTGGTTTTAAGTTTTGTGTTTTTTATGTTTTGAGTTTTCAACATTTTCATCTATTTCATTTCACATGGGATGGTACTTCTCTAGTCTCTTCTGTAAATATAAAATCTCTCACGCTCAAAGCTTAAGTGAAAGTACATGTTATCCTCCGTAACATTGAATACAATGACGTGATCGACATTTGGGCAAGTGATTACTTTTATAGTAAATAAAAATGTAACAAACTTCCTTTCTTATATTGAATGGAGAACAAGAAATAGCGAGGCATTACGATAGTTTACTATTACCAAAAATTCAGAAATAAGACATATTCCAGGAGAGCATTATGGCATTAAGGTTCATGTGGACCCTTCGACTAAAATGGCTGCATTTTCACCTCAAATTTTACTCTGAGAACAGACAAACCTGTGTATCTTGAAAAGTTTTAAGGCATAGCATGCCCTAGATAAATAAAATTCAAATATATGTTATGTTTTAGAAAATTAAAAACTTAACAGGATTTTGCAGTTCACTTTTTTTCATTTCTCCAAAAGGTGCCAAAATAAACTAAGTTGTGAAAGAGGTTTGAGAACTTCCCCACATGTAATAATTAAAGTGAACTGTATCGATTGACATGGACAATATATGGACAATAGAAACCTGACAATAATTGGTGATTTAAACTGTGTACATGAGTGGACCATATCAAGTGAAACTCAACTGTTTGTTAATTTTATCATCTTCTGCAGGGACGAAAAAAAGTGCACTGCAAAATCCAGTTAAGTTTTCAATTTTCTAAAACATACAATGCATTTGAATTTTATTTATCTAGGGCATGCTATGCCTTAAAACTTTTCCAGATGCACAGGTTTGTCTGTACTTAAATTTGGAGGTGAAAACGCAGTCATTTTAGCAAAAGGGCCCACATGAACCTTAATGACGCGCTCTTTCAAAATTGTTTTATTTGAATATTGTATATTTAAACGCTTAAATTGTCTTCAAACTTTGAGCATGCATCGGTAATGACTAGAATCAGTTGACGTCACAAAAATAAAAATGTGAAAATGTGGTGTGCGACGAAATGACAAATGTAAAACAATTCAAACGAGAAAACTAACGGCCTGATTTAGGTACAAAACAATGAACGAAAAGCAAATATGATATACAGCAACAAACGACAACCACCAAATTACAGGATCCTGACTTGGGACAGGCACATATAGAGTGTAGTGGGGTTTAACTAGTTTGTAGGCCTAACCTGGGACAGTGGTGTAACAGTGCAACCTAAGAACAGACTATAAATATTGAAAAGGGCTTAACTCATCAGATCGATACAAAGCAGAAAGACATCTAACAAAAACAATGACCGGACGTTGCAGGGTATTTATACATCCCCACAACAACAAAAAAGAACATTAATTACAGATCTGAGAGTTCTTTCAGTTACTGTCAGCTAGTTGAACACAAATAACAATTAATAAAAAAAAATCATGCATCTGAGACTAAAATATCAATCAGTACACATTCAACATCCAATGGATTTAACATTAACAGTCACAGAAAAACATGACCTTGTGCAATGCCAAGAAACGGGTATCGACAGATTGTAGAGCCATTAATGTGAATATGTATATAAACAAACAATATATATAGTTTGATTTTTAATTTACTGATATCAAAATCAATATTTATACCAATATTAAGATCATTAATATTATTTATATAAAATAAGGAGATGAGGTATGATTGCCAATGAGACAACTATCCACCAAAGTTCAAATAAAGTGAATTTAAGCAATTGTAAGCAACCGTACGGTTTCAACAATAAGAAAAAGCAATACCGTATAGTTGGCTATAAAAGGCCCCGACATGAAAATATGAAACAATTCAATTGAGAAACATATGTGTCTGTTAGGAAATTTGTTTGCAAATTTGTGAATTAACTACACGCATCTTCTTATTTTTATACATTTTGTTAAACTGTTGGTTAAAGCTCTTTTCTATGACGCCTTAATGAGTCGTTACATTAAACTTAAATCAATAGTGTATCAAACAAAATGTCACGGGTACACTTAATTCTAAACTGGACCCATTTGGTCGGTGTAGATGTTTGTCAGTTCGCCTTTTTTTATCAAGGCGTCGTCTGTTTCCCTTCTACGATGGTTTTTAACTGCCCCTTTGTATCTTTCTCGATATTCAACATGTTCAAACAGGGATATGATAGTCATGTTTAGCAGATAGTGGTATTTTGGTTTTCGGTCAACTGTATGAGAAGTCATGTTTGGCAAATATATTAACAATGAGCTTGATTGTAGTTAATTATTGAAGTCAAAAATGCATTTTCATTAAATTAAAATTTTTATATGGTTGTAAGTGATTAACAATTGAGCCTCAAAGAAATATTTTGGCTTTCATTCAGTTTTACCATTTCCACTAGAGTTACCGGAAAAGGCTTTTTATATCCATACAGCCCTGTAGGATAAGATAATGTCCGTCCTTGACTTTTTATCTTGACTTGACGGAAATTGCACCTTCTATTTTGACAACCGGGCAGAAAGATAGAACAGACAATAAAAATTCGAATGCAATATAAATAGTCAAATGTTAAGTAGGTGCTTTAAAAAAGAAACTATTTGTTTAATGTCATCTCACTTTAAGGATATATTTTATTTGATGTGTGTATTGAAAATTTTGGAATTCTAAACACACAACTAACTGGGACTTAAGAAATTTGGTCAGAACAGTATTACTTACCATTGCATCAGTCCATGGTTCGACTTGGTGACTGAAGAAGTAACACTTATTTCCAAATTGTGTCCATCCATTTTTACAGCCTAAAGAGGAGTTATAATGCAAAAAGTAAAAGAGAGGCGAAAGATACCAAAGGGACATTCAAACTCATAAGTCGAAAATAAACTGACAACGCCATGGCTAAAAAAGAAAAAAGATCAACAGACAAACAACAGTACTAAAAAAACAACATAGAAAACTAAAGACTGAGCAACACGAACCCCATTAAAAAATGAGGGTGATCTCAGGTGCTCCGGAAGGGTAAGTTGATCCTGTTCCACATGTGGCACCCGTCGTGTTGCTCATGTTTATACAAACCCGGTAAAAAGTCTAATTCGGTAGGTCACATTCGAGAAAAAGGGGACGGGATTGTAGTTACGACATTTGAAACATATCCGCTATCATCTGTGAAACGGATATTCCATAACGGTCAACCAACTCGTGATGGCGTCCTTAAAATTTTCGAAGGGATGATTTCAACTTCACCACTTGGAACTCTTGGTTTGATAGCTTCCTTAAAAGTGTTATAAGTTCTTAATTTTGCTCATAAAACTTCAAGGATCAAATGAAACTTATCACCAAAATTAAACACAACGTGTACCATATTTGATGCAGGATATGCTTAACCTTTTTGAGCACCTGAAATAATTCCCTTTTTTGATTATGTTCGTTATGATCAGTCTTTAGTTTTCTGTGTGTGTCCTGTGGACTGTTATTCGGTTGTTGTTCTCTTTTTTTGTTCTTCTCTTTTTTGTCGTTTTTGCCATGCTGTTGTCCAGTGTTCACTACTATTTGCAAATTATTCAAACAATATTCTCTTTTCTCTCTGATTCATCAGAATAAAAACTGAGAGATGTAATTCTTAATATATTGTACAACCAATGGAGTAAGGTATAGAACATACATTCTACTGGCTGTATGCTTTTTTGTTAAAATCAACTCAGTTTGCCTCCAGGAGTCCTCAGTCATAGATATGTCATAATATCACAAGACAGTGTTGGAGTTCAAACAACAATCGAAGTTACATGTAATAATGTTTTCATATTTTTATGCTAATGAATAAATATGAACTCTATTTTGAAATTTTGCTTTCGAGTAGTTGTTTGAAATTTTGTACAAAACGTATCATTATTCAATCCTTTTAGTACCTTGATTTAGCAGGGCATATTTAATCGTTATTATTCTTTTTCTAAAAAAAAACCAACAAGTAGTTATTTTACTGCTTTAAAAGTGATTTTAGAGATTTACACTGGGTTTTTTTTTTCAGGTACGCACTCAAAGCCACAAACATATTTATACCAAAAACTTTAAAAGCTCAAAAATATAACAACATTTCTGTATGAGGAAGTTATAACTGTGACAAAATAGCCAATTAATGCCGTATTTTTTAATTATTACACATAAGACGCAGGTTAATTCAACGAAAATTTAATTCATCCTTATATTTCTCGGCAATAATGTAACCCCGAAATCAATTTATAAGACGCATTGTATGCATATGATAAAAAATAATATGAGTAATGATATTGTTTCTACAACAAAAGCTGAAAAAAACTGTCGTTCAATAAAGGAAAGTTCTATTCATTCGATACCATTGTTGGTAAATTTCCTGTTCTTCTTTTTAATCCCAATTAAAAAGAGAGGCCAAAGATACCAAAGGGATTTTCAAGGGTATACTTTACGCGTCTGATACCTTGTCAAAGGATTGATTAAAGACTGAATTAATGAAACAGCGGTGCTATGCGGTTAAATAATAAGGGGTTTCTACCCCAAGAAAAGATTATTAATAAGGTATTAATATTACAGAGAATAATGCAATCAATTGTCTTTGGCTTTCATACATTTTGATGTCATGTTTATCTGTTGATGCGTATTAAAGAGACATCCATGCTGTGCGCAGTGAAATTCGCATCAATGTTTTTTAATAAAGTTTGTATTTTTCAAAATCGTATCCGAGACTCTGTTATATTTTTAATTGATATGTTACAATCAGAGTTAACCGTATGGCCATTTCATCTATAATGAGAAAACCAATTTCATATAGAAAGCTATAAATGGCCCCGAATGACCATGTTTACTTAATGTTCAGTGGCCAATATTTCATGTTTATTCAGGATACGAAAGGACTACATTTCTTTCAAAGAAAACGATTAATCCATGAACCCGTTTCTTCCTGTTTTGCAATTCGTGTTGTTTTTTATTCGAGTTGATTTTTATTCGTGCTTTCATAGTTTCATGGCAGGATTTATCTTCATTGTAAAGGAACGCTACATGTCAACAGATATTGTATAAAATTTAGGCAGTTTTCAATTTTTATAAAAAGTTCGAAAGGTAAATGTTAACTGTTTTAATTGTGTACAAACGCTTAAAATGAAAACCCTCTGAATAGTATCTTTACAAATCCCCATCCTTCCAAAACTGGCTCATCGATGTTTTCTTTTCTTTTATCAGAAATGGATAAGTGGTCTTTAATGATGTTGAATGTTTCACCAAATTAATTTTGTTGTATCATACGTCATTTAATGTGGCGTTTTGGGGTGAAAAGAAATAAATACGTTTTCTCCACCAAGAACATTATTGAATAGTGGGGACGGCATGATTTCTTATCAGCAGGTTAATACGTTGATCTTGCTCTGATAAACTGCAAAGATATTATACCGGTATTTTAATTTAAGTGTATGTCATGTACTTCATTTTGTTGTATGTTCTTTTATTTTCGTTTTTTAATCCACTGGTCTATATTAAAAGTTTCAAAAAAATAATTTTACTTCCCCAAATATAGTCAGGATCCTTGCATGTAGTCTTATCGTATTTATTTTTTTTTGAGAATTTGGCATTGACTGAAAGCTAATACTCGTTTCTATTTAATTTGTTTACAACGTTTATATACTCGGAACGATTTAGAGCTTGTCTTATTATATAGACACCTGTCTAATGTTGAAGACTGTATGTTTCCCGCTAAAGGTCTTTTGGTTAAAAGTGTTTGTCGTCGGATTAAGTCTATCTGACATAGACGTATATAGACACCTGTCTAATGTTGAAGACTGTATGTTTCCCGCTAAAGGTCTTTTGGTTAAATGTGTTTGGCGTTGGATTAAGTCTATCTGATATAGACGTATATAGACACCTGTCTAATGTTGAAGACTGTATGTTTCCCGCTAAAGGTCTTTTGGTTAAATGTGTTTGGCGTTGGATTAAGTCTATCTGATATAGACGTATATAGACACCTGTCTAATGTTGAAGACTGTATGTTTTCCGCTAAAGGTCTTTTGGTTAAATGTGTTTGTCGTTGGATTAAGTCTATCTGACATAGACGTATATAGACACCTGTCTAATGTTGAAGACTGTATGTTTCCCGCTAAAGGTCTTTTGGTTAAATGTGTTTGTCGTTGGATTAAGTCTATCTGACATAGACGTATATAGACACCTGTCTAATGTTGAAGACTGTATGTTTCCTGCTAAAGGTCTTTTGGTTAAATGTGTTTGTCATTGGATTAAGTCTATCTGACATAGACGTATATAGACACCTGTCTAATGTTGAAGACTGTATGTTTCCCACTAAAGGTCTTTAGGTTAAATGTGTTTGTCGTTGGATTAAGTCTATCTGACATAGACGTATCTAGACACCTGTCTAATGTGAAGACTGTATGTTTCCCGCTAAAGGTCTTTTGGTTAAATGTGTTTGTCGTTGGATTAAGTCTGTCTGACATAGACGTATAAAGACACTTGTCTAATGTTGAACACTGAATGTTTCCCGCTAAAGGTCTTTTGGTTAAATGTGTTTGGCGTTGGATTAAGTCTATCTGACATAGACGTATATAGACACCTGTCTAATGTTGAAGACTGTATGTTTCCCGATAAAGGTCTTTTGGTTAAACATGTTTGTCGTTGGATTAAGTCTGTCTGACATAGACGTATAAAGACACCTGTCTAATGTTGAATACTGAATGTTTCCCGCTAAAGGTCTTTTGGTTAAATGTGTTTGGCGTTGGATTAAGTCTATCTGACATAGACGTATATAGACACCTGTCTAATGTTGAAGACTGTATGTTTCCCGCTAAAGGTCTTTTGGTTAAACATGTTTGTCGTTGGATTAAATCTATCTGACATAGACGTATATAGACACCTGTCTAATATTGAAGACTGTATGTTTCCCGCTAAAGGTCTTTTGGTTAAATGTGTTTGTCGTTGGAATAAGTCTATCTGACATAGACGTATATAGACACCTGTCTAATGTTGAAGACTTTATGTTTCCCGCTAAAGGTCTTTTGGTTAAATGTGTTTGTCGTTGGATTAAGTCTGTCTGACATAGACGTATGTAGACACCTGTCTAATGTTGAAGACTGTATGTTTCCCGCTAAAGGTCTTTTGGTTAAATGTGATTGTCGTTGGATTAAGTCTATCTGACATAGACGTATATAGACAACTGTCTAATGTTGAAGACTGTATGTTTCCCGCTAAAGGTCTTTTGGTTAAATGTGTTTGGCGTTGGATTAAGTCTGTCTGACATAGACGTATAAAGACACTTGTCTAATGTTGAACACTGAATGTTTCCCGCTAAAGGTCTTTTGGTTAAATGTGTTTGTCGTTGGATTAAGTCTATCTGACATAGACGTATATAAATTAATATGTATCTAGCAACAACATTTTATTGGTTTGGTTTTTGAAAAATGAGCCCTTTCAGACAAACTTCAAACTGTGTTTTTCCGATTTTACGGGCATTTTATTTGAATATGAAAATTCCTACAATTATATTAGAGGAAAAGGAAGAAGACACCGTGGAATACTTTTTTCTATTTTCTAATATGCCAAAATTTGGATTTTTTATATAAAAATCTATGTCATCGCCTATTTGCTGAAGCTAAATTGAATAGTTACTTACAACTTATAGACGAAAAACAACACAGAAACACCACGAAATTAATGACCTGTATTCCCATTTGTAATAAAACTGATAGTAGCTATATATAGGTAGAAAAGTCAAGCATTCTACAGATTTGAATTCATATTACCAAGTTGTCAAAGTTTATCAACTATCTTTTGTTATGAAAAACGTGTTTCAACTTCAAAATTTCACATTCGGTCAAGTTTTAGTGTAAAAAAACTTACAAGACCAATGATTTACGAATTTGGTTATGTCTTTGTCTAATATAAGAGCCAATTACCAGTCCGCTATCCCATGATGCCATGATGCCTAATCACTTGATATAACTTTTCAGCGTATTTTATGGAAGTAAAACGACGAGTGTCATAGGTGGAGCAGGATCTGCTATCCCTTCTGTGGTATCTGAGATCCACCTCAATTTTTGGTGGCTTTCGTGTTGCTCAGTTTTTATTTTTCTATGTTGTGCTTCGTAAACTGTTTGTATTTTTGGTCGTTTTACGTTTTTTGCCATGATGTTGTCAGTATGTCTTTATCCTATGAGTTTGAATATCCCTTTGGTATCTTCCGCAATTCTTTTATGTATTCTACGCTACATTTAAATACAAAATAGTAAAAAATTATGGTATTATTTTCAACTTATGTATCATAGCAAGATTTCTTTGAAACACAAACGGCATTTGTAGATCGTAAAAACTATAAAGTCTGTGGTATATTCATTACTGATACCCGTTTTAAAAGTAATTTGACCACCAAATGTTACAATACACGAAGTCATGGAATTCTGAATTGTGTACGGTATTAAAAGTACTTGTCGCTGACTGATCTATGTCTATCAAATACCAAAACTGCTCAAACAGAGTTATGTGGAAGAACGACCAAAATCGACAAAATAACGTTTTTACGGTCTCCATCACGACTTCGAAACAATACGTCTGTGTCTTAACTCACAAGCAATATGTTTTCGCACTCTTAGATCTTTAGATAAAAGAAAAGTCGTATAATTTGTAACTTTACCGATCGTATCCCATTCCCGATTATGACATTTTGTTGAGTGTGGATTCAAAGTGCGGCTGGTGCCTGCATTGCAAGAAACGTTTATCCTGTTGACACATCTGGTCATGCTCCCTTTGGAGTTCATGCGATTAATTCAGATTGTGTTTGTAACCTTGATTTGTCTTTTAAACCGATTTGTAATAGGGTAAACCAATATTGCAAATGATAAAATGAGATTATTTATACATGTATCAACGACCCAGTAATCAGCATTTCTGTGCAGACATGAAGTAGCATGTCTACAGTAATTTTCTGTGAACTTACTGTTCATTAAATGTTAATAATTTAATTTTGGATGTAGCACGTCTTCTGATTGGCTGAAAGTATTTGTCTATCAGCTCATAGACATAATTTTGTCATCTTCAACGTTTTTTCATGATTTGTTCCTTAAAAATGGAATTTAGAATTAAATTATAAGGAATGACTGTAATATTTTTTCTGTCTATTCGAAATAAGCTAAAAAAAAAAGTGGTGCACACTTTTGAATAATCCGCTACGCGGGTTATTCAGTGTGCACCACATTTTTTATGTTATTTCTTCATAGACAGAAAAAATATTACAGTCATTCTTTAAATATTATTAGAAACACTAAAGTTTTTTTTAACCATGGCACAGCTGGCCTCAGCCAACTTCTTTTTGGAATTTTCGGTTTTAAATAATCTTCAACTTTGTTATTGATATTGATTTGATTTTCTAACTGTTTTTATCAGAAGGCTACAGATTAGTCTTATATACACGAGAAACGCGTCTAGCGTACTAAATTCTAAGAATGGTATCGTTTGTTAGTTAAACGCAGTATGCTATATACTGGGTTCTTTTTAATTGTACGTTTTACTCTGATTTATACCTAGAACCAAATATGTATACCATCTTTGCCACTCTGATATACTATTGATTTATTAGATTTTCAGAAGAA